GGCCTTGAACTCACAGAGATCCGCCTGCCTCTGCCTCTGCCTCCTGAGTGCTGGGATTAAAGGTGTGCACCACCATGCCCGGCTTTCATTATTCTTTTAAAAAATTTTTTTTTTATTTTTTATGTATATGAATGTATTGCCTGCATGTATGTAAGTGCAACCAAGTCATGCAATGCCCAAGGAGGTCAGAAGAGGGTGCTGGATCCCCTGGAACTGGAGTTACAGCTATTAGCTGTCACTCGGGTGCTGGGAACCAAACTGGGTCCTCTGCAAGAACAGTGCTCTAAACAGCTGAGCCATCTCCCTGGCCCCTTATTCTTTAGTTAGAATTTCATGTAACCCAGGCTGACCTCAAACTCACTATATAGCCAAGCCTAGCCTTGAACTCCTGATTCTCTTGCCTCCATCTCCTGAGTGCTGGGATTACAGGCCTGCACCAGCATAACCTGTTTCTGAATGCTGGGGATCCAACCCAGGATCCAACTTGGGTCTCCAAGCATGCTTGGCAAGCTCTCTACCAACTGAGCTGAACCCCCCCTTTTTTTTTTTTTCAAAGACAAAAAACTGATGTGTACGAGTGTCTTGCCTGCCACACACATGCCTGGTACCTGAAGAGCCCAGAAGAGGGCATGGGATTCCCTGGAACCGGAATTACAGGCAGTTAGCCACTGAGTGGGTACTGGGAATCAAACCTAGGTAATCTCAAGAACAGCAAGTGCTCTTAACCACTCAGCCATCTCTTCAGTCCCCTATTATTGTTAAACTTTTTTTTTTTTTTTCTTTTTTGAGACAGGGTATCCCTGTAGCCCCAGCAAGCCTGGAACTTGATATGTAGACCAGGCTGGCCTCCATCTCCTAAGGGCTAAGAGTTAAGGACCTGTGCACCACCATGCCAGGTTGCTTAAAACACTTTTTGCAAATTTTACAGTGTCTGTCTACATGAATACATTACTAGTCACCATTCCTACTCCTAAGACAAAGAAGGGACGGCTGTGATGAATCCTGCAGTTTAAGACCTGAAGGTGTCAAAGTCATGTGTGTGAAAAGCTTTACAGCCACCAGCCCTGAACATAGAACTTTGAAAGTAATTTAACAAAATAAGTGTGAATAATGTTATATACAGATTGTACTTAGAAAGTAGTTTTCACTGAATACTAGTCCGGGCACAAGAGGAATAAATGTATCATTTAAGAAGATCTCAAACACTTGGAAGGCCTGGGGTTATTCTACCTGACAAAGAGATAACAAGGCAAGGGGCCAAAGGGTGAAGCTCAAAGGGGTCACAGAAGAGGCAAAGAAAAAAAGAGAATAAAGAACTGAGAAAAACGAGGCCTTCAGCCCTGGGCTCTGCCTGGTTGGCCCAGGAAAGAATAGGGGACCAGCGGGGAAAACACTAGGCGTCCTCCCACCCCACCCCAAGCCCGGACCCCAGTCACTGGCCCCCCGCCCCGTGGAAAATAAACCAAACCGGTAACCTCTACCCGGACGCCTCCCATTGGCCGTGCGTGTAAGCGAAGCCCGCAGAGACCAATGAGCAGCGGCCACGGCAAGGCGAGCCCTTCCGGCCCGCCCCCGCGCTTGCGGCCCTCTAGAAGCCGAGGGCGGGACGTGGACGCGGTAGAGCTGAGGCGGCGGCGGGGCGGACGGACGTCGGGCTCTCGGCATGGCTCGCCTGGGGCTCGGTAGGCGCGGGCCTGCGGCGGGAGACCGGAGCTGAGGGCGGCCTAGAGGGCCCGGGGCCTGAAGCAGCTTGGGGCGGCCGGGAGCGGACCAGGTCCCGCCACTCTGAAACGCAGCCTGGGCCTCGGAGTGGATGGGCCGCGGGGTGGGCGAGCGGGGCGGCGGGGACTGGCCTGGGGGCTTCTCGGCTCGGAGCGGGCAGGGCGGCGGCTGCGGAGCGGGGGCAGACTGAGCGCGGTCTCGGAGGCGGGGCGGAGCCGTGCTTCTGGCGGGACGCGGGGGATCGGGGACTCCGGGGCCAAGCGGGAGGAGCCTGGTCCCGCGCCTCTGCTCCCGAGTGCCTGCGACCCCCGACCGGTGCAACCGCACCACCTCTTTTTCACAGCTTAAACTTGTAAAACCAGGTAACAGAGCCGAGTCCTGAAATACGGATTGATGGTCGGGCACAGGGGCAGTGCCTTCCGAAGGCCGGCCTTGCCGCACAAGAGCGCTTGCCATTGAATTTCCAAAAATCGCGTCACGACCTAGACTCTCAGGAATGATGTATATATGTCAGCTTTAGCGACCCAGTGGGCGAAGTTGGACCACCGTCCTAGTCTGGCTGACTGACCCTGGTTCGGGAGTTGGGGAGGTGGGTCCCTGCTCTCCACCCCCATTTACTACATGTGATCTAGAGCACGTTTCTTAACCTCTTTGTGCCAGTTCAACCATGTTCACCTTTTAGGATTGATAATAGTCCTCCATGGGAAGTTCAGAGGATTGATGCATTAGTACGTGTTTAAAGAAAGTAAGATAAATACTTGGAGTGTTACTGTAGAGAGAACAGATGAGACAAAAAGATTTTATCTACTTTTCCCATGAGTGGCTCGGAAAGAGTGATTCTATCAATTAACTCGTTATTTTAATACACGTAGTCAGACTTTTTGAGCATCCTGCTGCTAGCAGGTGCGAGGCAGAGATGTTGCTGGTGTGAATTTATAGCTGCCTTAACTGCCACGGAGATTGAATGGGAAGCTACAGATGGCAAAGCCATCTGTTCACATGGATTGTGTACCCTACGATTTTGTTTCCCAATCACTGTGTAGAGTGGCCATGTGAATTTTAGAAGCAGAACTTTATTAGTCAGCATTAACCTACTTTGTCATCTCAAGTTTTTGTTTGGGGAGAAAGTTGAAGGGGTGATGTGTCTGATTTCCTTCTAACCCTGTTAGATCATCTCTCCTTTTAAGGCGTTTAGGTCTCAAACCTTTGACAGGGTACTTCTGTTGGCTAGCCATCAGTGAGGGAAGCTCTTGAGAGAACTAGGCAAAATTTAAGATGAAAAGCCCATCACCCTGACTAGGGAAATGAATAGCCCAGGTCAAAGTTACATTGAGTGCCAGTCATCATGACTTTGATATGGAAAAGAAGCACCCTCCAGAGGTGCAGCAGCATCATCCAGCCCTTTGAATACCTGCAGAAGACTCATTGCCAAGAGCAACAGAAGCACCTGCTTCTCCACCTCAGTCTACTGACTGATGCTCCAGGACCATGCTTTCTCCAGACCTTTGGCCAGAGATCTGAGTTGTAGAACTTGTTCTCTCATTCTCCTGTGCACTTTCTTCTTTGTCCCGGTTTTCTGGTTTGTAAAATGAGCAAAATGTTGCATAGCTAAGTGAGTTAAATGTGTAAAGTATTTAGAACAATGCCAGCACACAGTCATAAAAGTTTTATTGTCTAGCCCAAAAAAGTAAAAACTCAAGTTTCTGGAGGCTTCCTGATTCCCTTCCTGCTTATAACAATTTCCCATATCAGAGCAGTCATATTTATTGGGGGAGAGGAGGAAGGGTTTTCAGTATCAGACTGTGAACAGTGAGACCTTGAAAACCATCAGAATTCAGTCAGTAGTAGATTGGCAGCATGATTCCAATGTTGTATTGGAAGTAATAATCCATAATTGGTTCTCTATAAAATGTCCATAACTTTTTATTTTTCCAGTTTTGAAAATTTCACAAGACTCAGTGTATTGTGCAAGTATGAATTTATAACAGTTTCACACACAAAAACCTTTTAAGGTAGTGGAACTCCTGGACATGGTAGCACATGCCTGTAATCCCAGCACTCTGGAGACAAGCATCACTATGCCTTTGAGCGGTACACGGTACCATCCAATGCAAACTTTGTAATGTATTTTGTTTGCTGGTGACCATATATAAAAAGGCAACGCTGAGCAGGTAACATTGCTTCTAATTAATTTCACTTAAAGACCACATTTATGATGGCATTCCCATCAGATTAGATCTCCTAATGATATCCTGTCAGCCTTTAGTTTGTGTCGGTACACTGGGTAGTAGGGTAGTGTTGTCACAGTAGTGACTTGGTCTACATGGTGCATTCCTTCAGTAAGCAGCACTCACCTGTATTGACTCAGATCATTGTGATTTCGGTGTGCAATCACTATGAAAAATATTGGTAAGATTTATTTATATTTTTCTCCTACCACATCTTTGGAATTCAGTGTGCTTTTTATACTTGGAGAACCTCTCAGTGTAGGGTATCCACAGGTGGCTGATGGCTTCCACATTGGATGCAACAGTTTAGGGAACGGCCCCACTAGCTAGGCTGGCCTCTAAATGCTCCCTTTCCCACCTTATGAAATAGATGAGGCCACCCGCCGCTGACTCTAGGTTCCTGTCTTCCCTTGGCATTTTGCTCAGATCTCTGCTGTCTTTATCCTCTCCCATATTCATTTTATCTCCCTCTCTCTCTTTACAGAGAAGCCTCCCTCCACCCCACATTTGCTTGCTTGTTCCTGGTCTTCATAATGAAACTTGATTAAAGAGTTTGTCTGTGTTCTCTAGGCTTGTGCCCTCCTCTTCAATCCACTACCCTCTGACTGCTGGTTATTTTCACTATCACAGCTGCCCAGGTGGCTCAAAAACAACTTTGTTACTAAATCCAGTAGGCAGCTTCAGTCTTGCTGTTATCTCCCCTTTAGTATGTTACTTGGTTTATGTGATATCACTCTTAGTAAAGGCCATACTTTTATTTCATAAGTTCCTACAATATTGTCCATATCTACAATTCAAATACAATATTCTTTTTTAAGATGTATATTAGCATATGTTAACTGTACATGTTGTAACATTTTCATACATGTACAAAGGTATTTGGGTCATATTCACCAACCCCCATTACCTGCTTTGTCCTCTCTCCTCTGGTCCCATTCCTCTTCCTAGATTGTTCCCTTCTACATTCATGTCTTTGTATGTCTGTGTGATGGGGATGCATGTGCCTGTGCTTGCACATGCAGAAGCCAAAGATTTCAGCTAGGCCCATTGACCATTGAGCTTCTGGGATCTGCCTGTGTCTGCCCACCAGCTCTGGGGTTATAGACATGCCCAGCATTTTATGTGGGTACTGGGGAGTCACACTGGTCTCATGCTCATACAGGAAGAAGTCTTACCCACTGAGCCATCTCCCCTACTTTCATGTCTTTAAAAAAAGTTTAGATTCTAACAAATGCAGTGTTCTTGAATAATGCAGTGTTCTTGAACTGTTTATTCATGCTAAGGCGTAGTGAATCAACTTGGAAGTAGGAGTTAGAGAGCTGTTCTGCCACTTAACTATATTTACATGACCATAGGTGGGCCTTCCATGATTCCTACATTCTAGTTAGCTGTGAAAATCAAATGATCTAATATACTTGAAAGTAACTTGAAAGCCTTGGTAGTATATGCCTTTAATCCTAGCACTCAGCAGAGGCAGGGGGAAATCTCTGTGAGATTGAGTGAGGCCAGCCTGGTCTACATAGTGAGTTCCAGGCCCTCAAGGGCTAGAGAGACCCTGTCTCAAAAAAGTAAAAATAAATAAAACATTAAAAAAGAGAAAGTGACTTGAAATTGGAAGCACCAAAAGCAGTCGTTTTCAATGGGGACTGTCAGTCGCCTTCTTGATCTGCATTGAAGCAGGGAGGACCAAAGGCCAAGGATGAGGGGGCAGGCCCAGCCAGTCCTCCCTTTTATGTAATGGCCTTGGGTAGAGGAAGACTGGAACTGTGAGCAGCGCTATCACTAGTGTGTGTGTCATTCCAGGTCTGGTGAGCTGTACCTTCTTTCTGGTGGTCAATGGTTTATATTCCTCTAGTGATGACGTCATTGAATTAACTCCATCAAATTTCAACAGAGAAGTTATTCAAAGTAATAGTTTGTGGCTTGTAGAATTTTATGCTCCATGGTAAGTATTATGAAATGGTTGTGCTTTTTTAAAAATTCATTATTTTTATTTTATGTATTTTTTTTATGTATTTTTATTTTATTTTTTTTTAATGTATTTATTTTATGTATTTTTATTTATGTATGAGTGTATTGCCTCCATGTATGTGAGCGCACCTGTGTCGTGCAATGCCATGGAGGTCAGAAGAGGATGTCAGAGTCCCCTGGAACTGGAGTTAAGGATGATTTGTAGCTGCCATGTGGGTGCTGGGAATCGAACCCGGGTCCTCTGTAAGAGCAGTCAGTGCTCTTAACTGCTGAGCCATCTCTCCAGCCCCGGTTGTACTTTTTAAACATTTATTATTTAAACATGTATTTTTGTGTATGGGTGTTTTACCTGAATGTATATAGGTACACCACATGTATGTAATGCCCACAGAGGCCAGAGGAGGGCCTGGAACTGGAGTTAATGGTTGTTAGCTACCTTGTGGGTTCTGGGAACTAACCCCAGGTCCTCTTCAAAAGCAGCCAAGTGCTCTTAACTGTGTAGCCATCTCTCCAACCCCTTTATTTTATTTTTTCTATTACAGGTTAGTAAATAGAGAAATTTATATATGTGGTATTTTGATCCATCTGTATATTGTCTGACAGTCAAATTGAAGGTGTGTGTTCTCTGACAGTCTAATTTGAGTCTTGTCTTTCTCAAATAAACTGAAACCTAGGCCTTGTAAAAATTTGACTTCTGGCCTGCCGTTTTTGAGACAGGGTCTTGTGTAGCCCAGGCTGGCCTCAAATGCAGAGATCCACTTGCCTCTGCTTCTCAAGTGCTGGGATTAAAGGCACATACCACCATGCATGGCAAAACTTGACTTCTGGGTTTTAAGTGTCTCACCTCAGCAACAAAACATATATATCAAAGCACCAATTCAAGGTATTGCCCCCAAGAGATCCTTACTTAAAATGTTGGGACTGAATTCAGGCCCCTATAATTAAGAGATATTAATTACATAGTTATTAAAGTATATAGTATCTAGGTGGAAATAACATGGGTAGCGGCTCACTCCATAAAGATGATAGGTTCAGGCAGGGCCCAGCAGTGGGTCAAGTAATTTCTCAGTCTCTGTTTTATCATTTATAAAATATAGTAGCAGGCCCTGTCTTCAGCTTTGTACTGATTTAAAAGTATGTAACCAGATCTGTAGATAAACTGGTTGGTGTCTGCATAAAACGGGCACTATACAGCAGTGAGAATGAACAGTAGAGCTATCCACAACCTCAGTGATTAATAGAAACGGGTTGTTGTATAGTCTTTTTGAAACTTCTGTGTTATATTTCACAGAGGAATTTGTCTTGGCTTCAGATTTTTTTAAGTTTATTTTGTTTGAGTGATTTGCCTGAATGTGTTTAAGTGCATCTGTGTCATGCAGTGCCTGTGGAGTCCAGAATAGGGTATCAGATCTCCTGGAGCTGGAGTTATAGTTGTTAGCTACCATGTGAGTGCTGGGAACCAAACCCATGTCCTCTGTAGGAACAGTCAATGTTCTTAGCTGCTGAGCCATCTCTCCAGCCCCTGGCTTTGGATTTTGTTGTTGTTGTTCTGAGTGCTCAGATTTTTATTTTAATTCTTATAAAATACTATAGAACCCAAACAGATTTAAAACCAGTTTTATGAAATTGGTTTTCACAAAAAAAGTAATAATAATTTTAAGTTGCTGGTTGCAGCTGGTTTTCTAGGCTTATTTACATAATTTGGTGGTCAGATGAAAGGAATCTTTTTTCTTTTACTGGTTATTACTATGTAGTCTTAGCTAGCGAGAACTCACTTTGTAGGCCAGGGTGACCTTGAACTTCCTGTGGTTCTCCTGCTTCTGTCATCCAAGTGCTAGCATTACAGGTGTGCACTAACACACCTGACTCACAATGAGTTTTGTTTGGCTTTTGTTTTACAATATTGGTGCCTATAAGACAGTAGTTTTCTCTCAGAGTTCTTGTCCCCTCTCCTGCTCTTGTATCTTACCCTCCCATACATATGCCCATACAATCATATACTCACACATTCATTGCCAGCTTTTGGTGTCCTATGCTTTTCCACCTATTAGGCTTACTTGGGTTTGTATGTACGCTTTTCACTCTAGAACTGGCTTGGGGTGACCAGTATTTTCTAAACACAGGACATTCTAGGCGAGAGCTTCATCTATAAAATGAAAAGATTGTGTAGATCAGGGAACATCTAACTTCATTAGATTTGATAAGTCATAGAACTTACTGAAATACAGATTCCTTCTCTAGAAACTGGTTTCACAAGATCTGTATTTTGTCTCATCTCATAGCTCCAGACATTAAGGCTCACTGGGCCTAAGTTTTAACAGGCCTCTTCCAAATAGAATTGAGTGATGGAGTTTATTTAATAGTTATGATTTATTGTCATAAGTAATATCCTTTAGTCATTGATCTTCCTTGGGTGTTTGCCCTCCTTGCAATCTCCCAACCCCAGAGTACTTTACTCAGTAGACCAGTGACTTTATGAATTAAGGATCAAAGGATTTGTCACTTTTTCAATATTTTTATTTACTATTTTTATTTTATGTGTATGGGTGTATTGCCTGCATGTATGTGAGTGCACCTGTGTCATGTCATGCCACGGAGGTCAGAAGAGGGCTTTGGACTCCCCTAGAACTGGAGTTAAGGATAGTTCATAGCTGCAATGTGGGTGCTCGGAATCAACCCCGAGTCCTCTGCAAGAGCAGTCAGTGCTTTTTAACCACTGAGCCATCTCTCCAGCCCACTTGTCACCTTATTTGTCTTTTCTCTTCCAAAAGGTGTGGTCATTGCCAAAGGTTAACACCAGAATGGAAAAAAGCAGCAACTGCATTAAAAGTAAGTCTCCCAAGATGTCCTCATTTGCCCATGTATCTTTACATGGGAGGATGGGTTCTAGTGTACACTAGGAAGGTGATTTGTACATCACGGTTCGGAATGCTGGTAATGTTACCAAAAGAGATGTAGAGAGAAAGGACATAATACTGATTTTACTTTTCATGTCATCTGGCTCTATTCAGTCTCTTTCCTAGCTAAATGAAATAATTATCTTGGCCATTCTGATTCTGGGGGCCTCAGAGGCCCCTCTCTGGTTGGACATGTGCCTTATCCCTGGTACAGCTTAAAATTCTCTTCTGGTTTCCAAGGCCACAACCCTCAGTGGCTCTATTTGTAAACTGCACTATGCTTTTAAACTTGTGTACATGAATCCAAAAATGCTTTAATTGAAGGAAAAGCAGGTAATTCTATATTTCTACAGGATGTTGTCAAAGTCGGTGCAGTTGATGCAGATAAACATCAGTCCCTGGGAGGTCAGTATGGTGTCCAGGGATTTCCTACTATCAAGATTTTTGGAGCTAACAAAAACAAGCCAGAGGATTACCAGGGTAAGGACTCTTCTAACTTGTTAGCCTGGCTGCTACAAGCATGTTAACCTTGCTAGACTAAGTTCCCTGTCTATAAATGGCATAAAGTGATTATTACTCTGCCACAAGTTCCGAGTATTTGCTTGTAGGTTAAAGGTGGTTTTTGAATCATCTTTAATGTAGTATGCACCCATACCTCTTTATCTGTGTCTTTCTCATTATAGTGACTTAATATTTAATACAGATCTGTGTTTTCTTTATTATAAGATTAGGGTCTAGTAGAACAATGTAGGAAGTTGGGGATTCCCTGTGATTTGAAACTCAATTTTAAACTCAAAGTTGCTATTAACTTTGTAGAATTTTGCCCATGAATCTTAACGCCTTATAAGCATACGGCATTTGAATATGAAAATTACTACTTAGTTTTATAAACTATTGAGAACTCCAAAGTCTCCCTGTTCTGGAGACAAGTGAATTGTAAATGTCTTTTAGAAGAGTCACTGAGGTAGTTAGAGAGTACTCTGGCCCTGGATTCCTAAGAACAAATGTCATTTTAGTCACACTGCTCTTCTTCAGAACAGTTTTATGCTTAAAACATCATAGAGGAGGACGTGGCTGGGAGAGAGCATGTGCTATTCAGCATAACCACCCAGGGTCTTGAGTTAGATCCTCAGCAACACACACACACACACACAGAGTATCCTCGAGAGACCATTTTGTTTTAAATAATCAGAAATGATGGGTTAGGATAGATTGTGTTCCTAGTGAAGGTGTTGGACATAGTGTATTTAAAGTTTACAATGTGGCTTTTGGGGGGGGGTCTTTTTAAGACAGGGTCTCCCTGTAGTCCCAGTTGATCTGGAACTCACTATGTAGACCAGGCTGGCCTCAAACTCAGATCTTCCTGCCTCTGCCTCCCAAGTGCTGGGATCAAAGGCATGTACCACCATACCTGGCTTGATTAAAATATTTAAAGGTTTTGCTAAATAGAAAATGAAGTAACTGAATTTTGCTTTGTGTGAGCAGAAGTGCCTTTGGGCTAAGTAGTAGAATCAGTATCACAGAGTTGTCATGACACCTGCCCACGGGGTTCCCCCTGACAGAACCAGAAAGGCCTGGGACTTTAGAATCTGTAGTATGAATTGGGAAGGCAGTTACTGCGCAGCCTCTTGTTGGCCTCTCCATACTCAGGCCTCCAGTCTAAACCAGACTGAATTGCTCTGGGCTTGCTTCTTTCTGTAAAATGGGGATGTGAAAGCCCTGTTTTACGCTGCCAGACATTTCATTAAAATGGTACCTGCAAAGCACAGGAGACAAATACTGATAATAGATACCAGTCTACCTGGTAAGTCTTTATGCTGGAGAGGTCAGAATCCTTGTAGATAAAGCTGTAAGATAACACCATTTCTTCTAGATGCTTCAGTAGCCACTCAGCTTGGCTGGTCTGGTGCAGAAGCAGCCCTGACAATTCATGAAGGAACAGGCGTGGATATGTCTCAAGACACCTTACTTAGGGCTTAGGGAGGGTGAAATACTCAGTGGGTAAATGAGTTTCATTTTTTCTGAGTAACATCTGCCCTTTTGCTTTGGAATGGTAATTTGTTTTTTGCTTTGTTTTGTTTTGAGACAGGGTTTCCCTATAGACCCAGCTGGCCTGGAACTCGCTATGTAGACCAGGCTGGCCTCGAACTCACAAAGATCCACCTGCCTCTGCCTACCAAGTGATGGGACTAAAGGCATGTGCCACCACACCCAGCAGGAATGGTCATTTGTTATGGTTTTGCTCTTTGACAAAAATAGAATTCTTACAGCATTCTGCTGCTGCTGTTTTATAAATAAGGTTTTGTTACCGCATTTATTTGGGGTTGTACTCATGCCAGCGTGCATATGATGGTCAGAGGACTGACTACTTGTAAGAGTGAGTTCTCACCTTCTACCATGTGGGTCTCAGAAATTGAGCTCAGGCTGTCAAGTTTGGTAGCATGCACCTACTGAGTATCTCACCCCGCCAAGTAAGGTGTCAGGGACACAGCCACACCTGTTCCTTTATGAATTGTCAGGGCTGCTTTTGCACCAGAACAGCTGAGCTGAGTGGCTTCAGAGAACGATGTGGCCACAATCCAGACAGAGTATGTCAACCACTAGTTTACAGTGGGAAAATCCTCTCTTTACCTAGCATAGTTCTGATTTGCTGTATCTCATATAGTGAATGGTAAAGGGCATTGACTCAGATGTAGACCTGTCTGATGTAGAGTGGAAGACTGCTTTCATGTTGAGTCTGGCTCTTCTGTTTCCAAAGCATATTCTGAGTGTTCCATACAGCTAGTCAAAGACCCCTGGTTAGATCCCTGAAACATCTGATCATACCAAACTCTGTATAGGCTTTTTCCTATACATACGCACTTTAGTTTATAAATTAGATGTAGTAAGAGATTAACAACAGTAACTAATAATGAAATAGAACAGTTACAATATATAGTAGTAAAAGTTAGTAACTGTTGCCAGATGTGAAGGTGAATGCCTTTAATCCCAGCACTTGGGAGGCAGAGGCCGGTGAATCTCTGTGAGGCGGAGACCAGCCTGGTCAACACAGTGAGTTCCAGACCAGCTGGGGCCACAAGGAGACCCTGTCTCAAAAAAAAAAAAAAAAAAAGTAACTGGTATCTCCCACCTTTTTGCATCAAGACAAATGGCCAGTTAATAGCCCAGGGTTTTAAGTCTGAAATTCTGGGTATACTTGCACTGCTGTTGTCATCTTGTCTCTTTGAGGTTTTTGTTGGTTTTTGAGATGGTTTAATGCAGCCCTGGGTGTCTCATTGAGTTTTAATGCATGTTTGCTACTGAAGATTAAGTTCATCGTTTATAAAGCTATTTTTATTATATGAATAGTTGAGTGTATTGCCTACATGGGTGTAAGTGCACCCATGTCATGCAAGGCCCATGGAGGTCAGGAGGTGGTGTCAGATCCCCTGGAACTGGAGTTAACAGATGGTTAACTGCCATGTGGGTGCTGGGAGTTGAACCCCAGTCCTCTGCAAGAGCAGTCAGTGCTCTTAACTGCTGAGCCATCTCTTCAGCCCCTGAATGTATGTTTTACCTATAAGTTTGTATGTATGCTGTATTAGGGTTCTCCAAAGAAACAACTGGTAAAATGAATATATATGTATAGAGATTTATCAGCTTAGCTCACAGGATAGAGTCCGAGTAGTCCAACAATGGCTGCACCACGCTGGAGAGGCTGAGAATTCATAGTCGCTCAGTCCACGAGGCTGGATGTCTCAGTAGTCCCAATCTGGCACTGAAGGTCTGACAAATTCCAAAAGATCTCTTCAGTCTACAGCAGCAAGACAAACTCACCAGCGAGAGAGAAGGCAAGCAGCAAGAAGCCCAGCATTCTCCTCTGCCTTGGCCTTTTATATGGGCTGCCATCAGAAGGTAACACCCACATTTAGGGTGTGTCTTCCAGCTTCACATGATCCAATCAAGAAGATCTCTTTCATTTCAGTTAATCCCAGATCCAATCAAGTTGACACCCAGGATTAGCCATCACATATGCTCGTGCATGCAATGCCTGAGAACATCAGAAAAGCGTGTTGAATCTCCTGGAACTGGAGTTACAGGCTGTTGTTAGCTGCTGTGTGGGTGCTGGGAACTGAACCCAAGTCCTCTGCAAGAGCAGCCAGTGCTCTTAACCACAAAGGCAGCTCTCCAGTCTCAACAAGTGAACTTGATTTTAAGCAAAACAGAAAGAGGACGTCTTGATTTGTTCCAGAGACATCATGTCCTACCTTTTTCACATATTTCTATCTACTCTTAGAAGTTTTCCCCCGTATATTTGGGAATTTTTTCTGTGTTCCTAACTAGATACAATGTATGTTATACATTGAGTAAATGTGAAATTTTCTCATTAGAAGATGGAATTTCTGGGCTGAAGAGGTGGCTCAAAGGTTAAGACCACTGACTGCTCTTGCAGAAGACCTGGGGAGTGATTCCCAGCATCTGCATGATGACTAACAATCATCCATAACTCCAGCAGTTCAAGGAGATCCAATGCCCTCTTCTGACCTCTGCAGGCATTGCATGACACGGGTACACTTACACATGTGCAAGCAATACACTCATACACATAAAATGAAAATAAAATACAAAATTTTAAAAAGAGAAGATGGAATTTCCAGATAGTGAACAGAGTGTTAATTACCTGAAGAAGTTGGCACTTCAAGTATAAAGGCTAGGGCAAAGTACATTTAGGGAGAAAGTGCTGTCCTAAGTATACATATAGATCTGTTTACCATCAGTTGAAGCTGGTGGATGTGTCAAGGTATGAGTCTTCAGATGCTGTCAAAGAGGCACTTGTGCAGTCCAGCGTGAGATCGCCTGCCTTCACCTAACTGTCCTTTGCTGTCCTGTAGGTGGCAGAACTGGTGAAGCCATTGTAGATGCTGCCCTGAGTGCTCTTCGACAGCTTGTTAAAGATCGCCTCGGAGGGAAGAGTGGTGGATATAGTTCTGGGAAGCAAGTAAGGCCAATTTTTAGCTTACCTTGGTGTTTTAGCCTGAATGTAGACTTTTCTAGAAGAGATCCCCCCACCCCCTCTTTTGGGTTTTGTTTTGTTTTTTGAGGCAAGGTCTCAGTATAGTCTAAGATAGCTTTGAATTCTCTTTGTAACCAAGGATGACCTCAAACTCAAACTCCTGACCTGTCTACCAAGTTTTGGAATTATAAGCATATACCACCCTGCCCAGTTTCCCCTGATAATGCAAAGGTTAGTGAACTTTCTATTAAAGTTAACTGGCTTAACTGATCCCAGAGAGAATTGGCTACGCAGCCTGTTCATTGTCTGCCTTAGAGTTAACATGGCAATAGCTAGTCAGTCCCAGAACATCTTGCCAGAGGTATAGTCTAAGAATAAGGCTACCAGTAGGTATCTAGGACCCTGGGCTAGAATGAATAATCGGGACTACAGAGGGAGAAGTTGTTCCAGGCCAAGGATAACAGAGTCTGGGAGCTCATGACCTTCACCCTTCATGGACCTGCTGTTCCCTTCCAGATTGACTTCATTCAGTGATGAAATTTTCATGAGCTCTTGGCCTATATCTGTAGCACTCAGCCTGAAATCCATGGAATATTCTATAGGCATGAATAGGAAAGAAGAGGAAGTGAGAAGTTTCTGCTCAGAAATGAGTGTTTTACATGCTCTTGTATAATATTTATATGTGTGAATGCATGTATAAATGTGAAGTTTATGTTACCCATACATTCCTGTAAAAAAAGCATTGAAGATATTTATAAAATGGCTCTTTACTCTTTTTTGGTCTTTTTGAGACAGGGTCTCCCTATAGCCTCAGCTGGCCTGGAACTCACTATGTTTACCAGGCTGGCCTTGAACTCACATTCACCATGCCCAGCCTGGCTCTCTACCCTTTTAAGAGACCAGCTTTATGTAGTTTTAGAGTTACCCAGAGCTTTCATTTTTGAACTAGACATTTGATGAGCACCATTGCCTCAGCCCTGCCATGGTGTTTAGCCTCGCAACAGAAAACACCATAACGGTGCTTACTGCACCTTGGGTTTGGTGCTAGGGAAAGTTTTTTGAAAAAAGGAAGAGGGATGGGGGTATAGCTTCATGGGAGAGTACTTGCCTAGCGTGTGCAAAGCTTGGGTTCCAGCTCCAACATGGAGGAAGGAGAGAGAGACAGAAAGGGAGGAAATGAAATACCAGTTTTAGCTATCTTGAATGATAGGGAATTTTTGAAAATGCAGAAACAGTTTTAGTTACTTGTATAACACTGTGGGGTGATGCAGCAGCTATGCCTGAGTTTGAATTAGAACAGTGTGCTAATGATAGTACATTGAGTGCTTAATAGAAACAGCAGGTGAAAGAATTCGGGAACAGATTAGATGTTACACTAAATGGAGTAGTAATTGGAAGGCTGCTTATTAAGCAAAAATCATACTAGAGAATGAATGCTTCCAATCTGAGTGATGATTTTCACTAACTCACTAAAGAACAAATCAAAGACTGCATGACCTTATAAAACCATTGTTTTTGTATATATATTTACGGTAGGAGTAATGTTCCCTTTTGGTGGAGTAGTATAACATTTACTGTTGTACATGACAGGGGAGAAGTGATAGTTCAAGTAAGAAGGATGTGGTAGAGCTGACTGATGACAGCTTTGATAAGCATGTCCTTGACAGTGAAGATGTTTGGATGGTTGAGTTTTATGCTCCATGGTGTGGACACTGTAAAAAGTAAGTGCTTTCTTTTTTTGTTTTTTTGTTGTTTTTTTTTTTTCTTTTTTCTTTTTTTGGTCTTTTTGAGACAGGGTCTCCCTGTAGCCCCAGGTGCCTGGAACTCGCTCTGTATACCAGGCTGGCCTCAAACTCACAGTGGATCCACCTGCCTCTGCCTCTCTAGTGCTGGGATTAAAGGCATGCACCACCACGCCGGTCAAGAAAGTGCTTTCTGCCAATTAATCAACTTTTAAAATAGTACATTCATCCAGCTCATGAAAGAACTGATCTAGACAGTAAATAACCTTGGAACTCTCCAGAAAAACTTTGACCTGACCCTTAAGTGAATATTCAGCATTATAACATTACTATCAAGAGTTTCTCTGTCATATTTTCAGACACTAACAGGGGACTGGCTAATGTCCAGATTAGGGCAGTGATGGAGGACTTGAGAGGTAATGCAAAGTCTAGCCTCATTCCTTTGGCGAAGCTACACAAGGTGTTTGTGAGGTATGACATAGAACAGGCAAAAATGGACAGCTTAGTTCAAGTACTTGTACTATGAGTTTACTGTACTGTTTAAATATGTTTCTATAGCTTGGAGCCAGAGTGGGCTGCTGCAGCCACAGAGGTAAAAGAACAAACAAAGGGAAAAGTGAAACTGGCAGCCGTGGATGCCACTGTGAATCAGGTTCTAGCCAGCCGATATGGGGTGAGTCTGTTTAAGGTTCATTCACTCTGAGAAATACTTGAAATTTTCAAGTTACTTGGCCTGTACTCCTGGCCTCCCTGTGAGGGAAAGGGGAAGGTGTTTAACCATTTTGAAAGAGATGAAGTCCTTTTATATCAAGCCTGCAGCTCAGAACTGTTGGGCTTGTTCAGCATCATGCCATATCTGTACATTTACTGAAGGCTTTGGCTTGCTCTGGGTCTTACATATTTATTCCCATGGCTTTTGAAAGTTGGTCCTTTTAATTAGAGTACATGCATTGTAGTAATTAAATTCCCAGGGCTTGAAAAAGATTTGACTGAACTCTGATTTATAAATCTCTGGCATTGATGCAGCATGGGGAACTTTTCTTTTTGCAGTGCTGAGGATTGAAGCCATGACCTGGCATGTGCTGAGCAAGACTTCTGCCACTGAGCTTCATCCCTAGCACTTAATTATTTTATTTATTTATTTATTTATTTATTTATTTATTTATTTTTTTATTTATTATTGTCTTTTAGAGATAGGGTCTCCCTGTAGCCCCAGCTGGCCTGGAACTCAATATTGTAGACCAGGCTGGCCTCGAACTCAAGAGATCTCCTGCCTCTGCCTCCCAAGTACTGGAATTAAAGGCATGCACTACCATGCCTGGCTAATTATTTTTAAGACAGGGTCTCACACAGTTCCAGGGGATCCGACACCCTCATCTGACCTCTACAGGCATTGCACAACATGGGTGCACTTACATGCATGCAGGCAGTCCACTCAAACACAAAATAAAAAATAATAAAATATAGAAAAACAGGGTCTCACTAAGTTGCCCAGAGTGGCCTCCAACTTGTGGCCTTACTTGAACATCCCAAATAACTGAATTACAAGTGTGTACCAGTACACTCATTGGAGCGTACTTTTACGATAGTGAAATGGTTTTAGAACCCCTAAAGATTGTGATTATTTTTCTAATTAAAGTTTTATTTTACTCTAATGTGCTTTTGTTGTTGTTTTTAATAGATTAGAGGATTTCCTACAATCAAGATATTTCAAAAAGGCGAGTCTCCTGTGGATTATGATGGTGGACGGACAAGATCTGACATAGTATCACGGGCTCTTGATTTGTTTTCTGATAATGCCCCACCTCCAGAGCTGCTTGAGGTAAACCACTTCACTTCAAACCTTGGTAGTAAGGAACACTTTTTCTAGTCTGGTAATGAAGGAATGAAACCCTTTGTTCAAATTTAAGATCTTTCCTTTTTTGTGTGTTTGTTTTATAGACAGGGTCTCACTATGTGGCCCAGGCTAGCCTTGAATTCATAATAATTCTGCTTCAGTTTCATGAGTGCTGGGATTATAGGCATGTACCACAGTGCTTGACTTCTTTTATAGACTACTGAAGTGGTTTTATACTTTGAAATGGGAAAAAAATATGATAAATTACTTTTCATAAGCTTTTTAAAATTTTTATATGTATGAGTGTATTGCCTACATGAGTGTAAGTGCAGCTGTGTCGTGCAAGGCCCACAGAAGTCACAAGAGGGCATCAGATCCCCGGGAACTGGAGTTATGGACAGTTGTTAGCCCCATGTGGGTGCTGGGACTCAAACCTGGGTCCTCTGCCAGTACTGCCCTTAATTGCTGAGCCATCTCTCTAGCCCCATACTTTTCATAATTTTTTAGCATTAAAATAATTTCACTGTGAGCAAAGCTTACCTAAGCTTCTTAAAAATAGAGATTTAGGGGCTGGAGAGATGGCTCAGTGGTTAAGAGCATTGGCTGCTCTTGCTAAAATAGAGTAGATTTAGTCACTTGGGCTGTCATTCCCATAATAGTCAATAATATGCTCCATGGCTGGGCATAGCAGAGGTATTACTTTGTACTCTATACAGATGTCTCTGGTAGTTCTCAACATCAGTGCTGAGGAAAACAACTTTATCTTGGTTTAGAATTGAGGAAAAAAATGCCAAGCACCTCAAGCTATATAAATGCATCATACACATAAGTACAATTATCTGTTTAAACCAGAAGTGGCAGGACCAGACTGTGCCCAAGCATTGTGATTTCAGAAACTGTAGAGTAGGAGGCTTAGGAGTGAATGATGGAAGTCTATTTTAAAGGATTGTTGACAGCATGTCTGCACTAGGAAATGTCACTTGGAAGGAGTTTTATGGAGCTGCCAACACCGTCGTTGTATGTAAGTCTGCCTTGGGTACTGGGCTTTGCAGCCTTCAGCTGCCCTTTGTCCTCTGTGCCCACAGATAATCAATGAAGACATCACCAAGAAGACCTGTGAGGAGCACCAGCTCTGTGTGGTGGCCGTGCTTCCCCACATCCTGGACACTGGTGAGCCCTGAGACCACTTCCCATTACTGTTGCTGCCACCTGTTTAAAGCACTTCCTAAGTGGATCGATCTTATTTCACCTTTAATATATTTTATCTGATTAAACTAGGAGCTGCAGGCAGAAATTCTTATTTGGAAGTTCTTCTGAAATTGGCAGACAAATACAAAAAGAAAATGTGGGGGTGAGTTATCAAGTTCATGGTCTCAGTTCTGTGAGCAGGAGAGTATCAGGCTTCCTGGATGTTTTCTGTAGGATGTGTTCCTGTGTTGCTTGTTGTGTGCTATATTATTGGCTTTTTGCTTACCAACGTTGAACGCAAAGAATGGACATGATACTCTAAGTAATACTCGTGGGATTTCAAGAAAAAACACAAGGAAAATGGATGTGATTTAGTGAACAGCCTTTTGGAATCTGAGAACCTGTCTTACTGTAGAACAATCCATTCTGGACATTAAAACCTGGATTAGATTTTGAAATTCAAAAGACATCTTTACCCTAAAACTAGTCTGCTTTTCTAGGTGGCTGTGGGCAGAAGCTGGAGCCCAGTATGAACTCGAGAATGCACTTGGGATTGGGGGATTTGGGTACCCTGCCATGGCAGCCATCAATGCACGCAAGATGAAGTTTGCTCTTCTCAAAGGGTCCTTCAGTGAGCAAGGCATTAATGAATTTCTCAGGTACTTTGTTTTCTTGGTTGTTTATTGTTGTTTGGCTTTGTTGTGGGTTTGCTGTTTATATAGGTATATATGTCGATTATACCTATTATACCTATATATGTCTTATTATGTAGAATTATTTTGCATTTAAAACATGAGAGAGAGAATTCGGTGTCCCAAGTAGAGCTTTTAAGCCTTTCTCGTGGTAGTGTCATATGCCGTCCTCTCCTGCCTTGCTTGCTGTTGTACACCTGCCTTGAGTTTATTCTAGTCCTCACAAGGTCTCATACTAGAGGCAGCTGGGTCTCACTCATTCACACCCATGTTGTGTACTCCTGGCCTCAGGTCAAAGCCCTTGCCTTTGGAATGTAATTATTTGAAAACAGGTGTACTTACTTGAGATCCTCCTGTGATGTGCAAACAGTATGGTATGTTCTTAAACTCAAAACCTCCTGTGCTGCTATGCGCCTTATCCTAAAACTCACTTGATCCTTTGTTGGGCAAATAAGACACACTGACCTAAAGAGATTTGGCTTCCCAGTTCATACTTTCTTCTGTACTCATTTCTCAACCGCCTTGTGAAAAATAGATTTCAAAGTTTGCACCACTTCTGATGCCAGACTTCCTGCTGGATAACAAAAGAGGGTAGGAGATGATACTGTGGCACATAAACTGTGCTTTGAGTAGTGCCTGGGACCAGGAGGAGGGCCAAGGGCAGCTGAGAATTTGACAGCTAGGCTCCTTTCCTTCCCAGGGCTGTGACTTTGGGCACCTGTCCTAGCTTTCCTACAGCCCCCTGCCCTTGTTTTTCTGTGGGTTACTTATAGTAGTCACTGCAGAGCGCTTGGAAGATTGGGAGAAGTAACCAGGTAAAGTGCCTGGGACAAAAGTAAATGTCTACATGGAGCTGTTGTTTTTAAGACCATGTCGATTTAATAATAATGAGGGAATGTTTCCTCTAAGTCCTTAATTTAGAAATGGTTTATGCAAAGGGGATGGGCTAAATGCAAGTAAGAATCAGTAAAGCATGGAATTTTTTTTTTAATTATCTGACAGAAAAAAAATTAAATATGGACAAAGGCAAAAACTAGGGTAAAAGACAGTTTTTAGCCTGGCATGGTGGTGCATGCCTGTAGTTCCAACATGCAGGAGATAGAGCCAGTAAGAAGTTCAAGGCTACCTGGGCTACAATATAAAAACATAGTCAGAGCCAGGCATGGTGGTGCACACCTCTAATCCCAGAACTTTGGATGTAGTGTAGAGGCAGAGGAATCAGAAATATAAAGTCATCCTCAGCTACATATCAAGTGAAAGACCAGCCTGAGCTGTGTGGTAGTCACAGTACCATTAGAAGATTAAATGATAATTCAAATAGCCTCTCAGTCATATTGTTTTAATTGGTAATAAAGTTACTGAGGTATTTCTGAATTTAAGTACAAATGATTGTGCCTTACTGCTAAGCAGATATGTATGCCAGCTCTCTCCCGGTACCAGTCTGTGTTAGTTGAGACCACTCACCTCACTCCTGATATGCTTTCCACATTTGTGATCTTAGCAAGATTCATAGGCAGCCCTTATTTTAAATCAGCTTTGGTAATTTTATGTACTTTATATTTTAAAACACTTTGCTGTTTTAAAAAAAAAAATCTTAGTAGGTGGGGCTGAAGAGATGACTCAGTGGTTAAGAGCACTGCCTGCTCTTCCAGGGGACCCAGATTCAGTCTTAGCACCCACATGGAAGCTACAGCCATCTGTAACTCCAGTTCTAACAGATCTGATGCCCTCTTCTGGCCTCCATGGGCTTTTCACGACAGGGATGCACTTACCACATATATGTAGCAGGCAGGATATACACATAAAAATTTTTAAAAAGTAGTGGTGCCATGCTTTACCTGATTCAGTGGCTTGAGGAGTGTCCTCCTGGGTATGGCATTACTTGTGTTTGAAAAAAGGGGTGTGGCTGGGCGTGGTGGCACACACTTTTAATCCCAGAACTAAGGAGGCAGAGGCAGGCGGATCTCTGAGTTCAAGGCCAGCCTGGTCTACGTAGTGAGTTCCAGGACAGCTGGGGAGACCCTGTCTCAAAAAGACAAAAAAAAGAAAAGGGGGCAAGAAGGCCTTCACACCTCCATATCTACGTAGTAGGCAGAGTATGCCTTCTTTCCTTCATGGGAAATACAGCTAAATGTATGTGCTTGGCATTTTTCCCCAAGGGAACTGTCCTTTGGGCGTGGCTCCACAGCACCTGTAGGAGGCGGGACCTTTCCTCCCATCATTGCCAGAGAGCCCTGGGACGGCAGGGATGGTGAGGTAAGTGCTAACCAAGGCAGGCTTCTTTCTCAAGCTTGTGCATCTCTGCCTGAAAATGAATCCACCATCAAACCCCCGGCCTTGTGCTCCTTTCTTGCCCTGTACCTCAAGTGCTGGGAAAACAGGCATAGGCCACCACACTGGCTGGCTTTCAGTTTTAGAGAATGTTCCCTTAAAATCACAATTTAAAGATGAGGTGAACTGGGCCTGGCACTTCACGCCTGTAATTCAACACCACTCAAGAGGCTGATGCAGGAGGATTGCCATGAGTTTGGGACCCACCTGTACTACAGAATGAAACTTTATTTCAAAAAGTCAAGCCAAAAAGGCTAGGTGAGGTGCATGCCTGCTGTGAGCAGTATGGGACTCTTGAGGCAGAAGGATTGGGAGGCCAGCCTGGGCTACCTTAGTGAGGCCCTGCCCTGTCCCTACTTTGACCCCATCATTTTGTCCAAGTTATCGGGTATCCATCAGTGTTATAATTGGTGCAAGAGCCAGGGTATACTCTGGAATCCTGGAATTCAGCTTGCTTCTCCATTGAAACCCTTGACCTTTCCCGGTATCTCCCCACCTGTGGCTCTAATCATAGCTTTCTGTCTCCCAGCTTCCTGTAGAGGACGACATTGACCTCAGTGATGTGGAGCTGGATGACTTGGAGAAGGACGAGTTGTGAGGCTCACAGCCCAGCCTTCAAATTTCTTTTCTTGGGAGCAAGCAGAGTTTTCCAGCAATTAACTGAGTCTACCAGTGGCCTTTTTTTTAGCCAAGTAGCACTTGAGTGGTCATTTGAAAACACTGCAACAGTGAAGTTCTGCGTCTCAAGAAAACACTGAAAAATTCTATGAATTGTTGTAGCCAGTGAATTGGATTGTATTCTGTCACATATTTTGAAGAGAACTGGGCTGTTGAAACATTTTTCCCTCTCTGACTGCTGCTTAAATGTTCTTGGAGGCTGTTTCTTATATATAGGGTTTTTAAAATTTGATTCCTTCATTTGAATATTAATGGCTTTTTCCATTAAAGAATAAAATATTTTGGACAATGCTGATAAATAGTGTCACATCATAAGCTCAGAGTCTGATGTTTAGCCAGAAATTACTGTGAACTGATGGCCCTCACATCTCCCTGTAAATGGTTTTAAAATGGAAAAAGCAAGACCTCTGACTAGAATTCGATTCCATGTAGAAAACTGGTTATCAAGTAAGAACTGCATTTCATACCCGTTTGTCTTCAGGTATCACAGTGGTTAATTATTAGGTTCAGGTGTTCTCTGTTCCCTCTAATCTCCCATAAAAACCCTCATGAAGACAGCAGTGGGTTACAGGCCTTTCACATTTATGTAAAACGCTCAGGAAAAGGAGTTGGGAGTTACATTAGAACACAAGAAAAGACACTTTAAAGGACTGAGCATTTTATTGTAACTTAAAAAAATAAATACACTCTTAAGTAACGTCTGTGAGCATTTTCTCTGAAATCAGAATCCTGTAGGACTTATTCTCTGGCTTAAAGCAAGAAGATCTGAGGCTGTAGGGAACGTAGGCTGGCTAGGCTCCTAGTCAAGAAGACTGAGGTCAATGTGGAAGTAGACATAGGGGAAATAGTCCTGGTTACTGAGCTGCAGTCCAGGGATCTCCACAGACGCCTACAAAAGAAGGCAGTGCAAAGATGAGTTCCTGCCTCACCTTCCTACTTAAGGATGCTTTCCAGGTTCTGGCCCCCACCTCCCACACACATACCCTTGCTTTGTGACACTTTTCCAGTGGGCTGGCATATGCCCCTTTGAAGTGTGTGACATATGGCAGACCTATGGTAGGGGTACCCCTGGATCCAGATGGATACTCACATCCAGTATGCTCGCAGCAGCAACTTCATCCAGGTGCCGGAAGACAGAATTCAGCACCTCTCTCAAGCGCTTGGTGGCGGACTTCTTATGGGGTTGCAGGAGTACAGCCTGGAAGTTCACTGGCAGTCCATACCTGTTCAGACAAAATGGGCCAGTCAGTGCTGAGTGTAAACGCTGGCAAAAAGAGTCAACTCCTAAAAATGAATGCCTTCAGGGTCTGGGGAGATGACTCAGCTGTTAGAAGACTCCAGTTTGGTTCCCAGCACTCATGTCAGTTCACAACTGCCTGTAACTCCAACTCCAGGAGATAAGACAGTCTTCTGGCCTCCGTGGATATGAATGCACATACACACCATTTCATACGCAGACATAGAAATCTTTTTAAAAAAGTTAATGAGTGACTTCAATTGACACAACTTGGGGAAATATGAAACTATAAAGAAAACTCAGGCAGATTTCTAAAGGTCAGAGGTGAGAGCTGACTCAGTCCCCCTGAAATGTGCTGACACTTATGATGAGATTCTGATAGGAACCAAGAGCTCATGTCCCTGACCACCAGTGGTGGGTCTTTGAATACTTGAGCCAAACAGGCTGTGGGTCTGAACTTTGCAGGTACACAGCATTGAAGACCCCAACAATGCAGCTGTTTGTCCCTGCTGAAGGACAGCAACAAAAACTAGGGTCTACCATGGAAATTAGATCTGTTAACACCATCAGTGCCCATGAATAAACTCCCCTGGCTCCCACACCTTCCCAGTCTTCACAGTGGGCCAAGTATCCCTAGGATGTAGCACTGCCCCATTAGGTCTGCAGAAGCAGAGGACACAGGATCTGATGTGGCCTCAAGTGCCTCTGCTTATGCTGCCTGGCCTTCCTGGAGATGTCATACTGGCCAGCAGGATGACCAACACAGAGGTGGCCCCAAGTGAGCAGGTGATCCAGCCAAATTTTTTTCTCATTAGTTCCTTGAGAATTTCTTAAAATATATTTTGATCATATTCATACACCCCAACAACTTTCAGATCACACACTGCTTTCTCTACCCACTCAACTTTGTGTGTGCCCCCCCGCCAAGCCCATTGAGTCTAATTTGTGCTATCTATATGCTTTTGGGTATGGGGCCATCCACTGGAGAGTAGCCAACCTACCAGAGGCCACACCCTTAAAGAAAACTGACTCCTCCCTCACTCAGTAGCTGTCAATAGCCAATAGCTCCTCAGCTAGGGATGGGGCTGTGCCTGTCTTCCCATCCCATGCTGTGATATTGTCTGGCTTGAGCTTGTGCATGCTGTCAGAACCACTGGGTTCATAAGTGCAACTTCTCAGTTGTATCCAGAGAATAGTTTCGTTGTAGTTATCCACCACCCTCTGGCTCTTACAATCTTTCTGCCTCCTTCAACAATCCCTGATGTCCCATTTAGGGCTGAGCACTCTACAGTCATTCTCTGCACGTTGATTCTCTTATTTATAGACAAGTTTTTGCTCTTCTAGCCCAAATTGGCCTGAAACTCAGATCCTCCTGCCTCAGCCTCCCGAGTGCTAGGATTACAGGTGTGAAGACCTCGTCATCTTCCTGAGCCCTTCGGGTCTCTGCCTTCTCTCTTGGTAGTAGCCACCCTGCTAACCTAACTGCACCAGTTCACATAAACACCTCCATCCTGCCAAAACATGACCAACAGACTGAGCAGTTCTCCCAGTACTCTTTCTCAAGGTGATGTTCCAGGGTGCTCTGACTCCTAGGGGAAAAGCTGCCTCTTCTGTGATGGCAGAGGTGAGAACTGCTGCATGCTGTCTGCTGTTTCTGGGCCCATCCTCTGATTAACATGAACCAGTTCTCTCTAAAGAGCCAAGTCTGAGCATCTAGTGCCCTATGTTATTCATTCTTCAGTCACTGCCCTCCTTTATTCTCTATCATTGAGCTACAAACTCCAACTCCTATGGGTGATTTTCAATTCATACCTGTGCTCACCTTGGTTTCTGTATTTTCCAGTGAATCTATTTTTGCTTTTGCTAAATAATAAAAGACAAAATGAGTTTTACACATGGTAGCCTTCCTATTTTCTTTGGGGGCTGCCTCGAGGGCTGGCCTTGGAGGGTGAGAACTAAGGACAGTTTGGGGCATCTTCCAAGAGCCACTGGGGCCCTCCAACAGCACAGAGGATCTGTGTGGGAATGCAAGTGAGGCAGGCAAATTAGCACAGATGTGTCAGGCAGGAAAGAGGCAGGGCAACTGGGGATTTATTTGACTAAATGGAGCAGGTTGCCAAGGCCCAAGAGGTAGCAAGCTACAGCCACAGAAAACAGTACTGGAAGGCAGGAAGAGAGAGGCAGGAGCTGGACATCCCAGCTGCCACCTCAAGACTGTCCAGCCAGCATTCCCTCCACGCACCTGAGCACCGACTCCACAAACACTCTCAGGGCCTTTATATGGATCCAGGCGATAAAGGCCTCACTGAAGTTCACCTTGAGCCAGCGTAGCAGAGGGCCCTGAAGAGACAGAAGAACAATGTGACAGACACTTGCCTGAGCCAAGAAAGAGCTTGCTGTTGACAGAGCAAGTCCTGAGCTCAGAAGAAAGGCCCAAGAGCCAGCAGAAACGGAGCCAGTGGGAAGAGCCTTAGGGAGGCTCAGGACCACCACATGCAGGTGCCTGGTACTGGGGAAGCTCCAGGGGCCGTTCACCGGCACATGCGAGGGGCCACCACAGACCAGGGGTGGGAGGCTGGGCAGCTCCTGACATCAGGCAGCTGATGGGCACTCTGCTGATAACGGCACAGCCCAAGAGCCCACCTCACCAGAAGGCACTGCCCCCAGGGTCCGGCCCATCCACCAGCTCCAACTGCCAGGGGCTCTTCAAGCCCCATCTAGACCACAGCTGCTGCTACTGAGCCTAGTATGGCTGGTCCTCAGGGGGAACTCTCACCTCACCTGACACCTCTATCTGCCCTCCAAAGCCAGATGCTCCAGCCGGGGCAGTCAGGGAGGAGAACTGAGCTGCCCAACCACCCACCCTCCAGCCAGGGCTCTGCCCGTCACCAGTCACCAGCTCCAGCCACCTTCAGCCAGGGCATAGGCACCCGGCCAGCCAACAAGCCCCCTTCCCTGCCTGGAGGGGCAGCTCCAGAAAGGCCCTGAAGGTTAGGCCAGCATAATTCTGGGCTCCTCTGATTGCAGACCTCACAAGCCGTAGGAGACAACAGCAAATGCAAAGATTTGTTCCTCAGAAGAGCCTCTACTGGCAGACAGATGCGAGCCAGGGAACCCCAGGGCTCCCGAGGGGTGCTTACCTCGCCCTCGCCCTCACTCTCTCTGTCTCTGTCGGTCTGCCCCGCAGCAGGCCTAGCAGGGTTACCTAGCGGGGTTACCTTAACCTTGTGGTCCCGGTAGGTGGCTGATCCCTTTTTAAGAGCAACACAGGAAGTTTGCTAAAGGCACAGAAATGATTTATTAATCTTTCAGCAAGCATGCATCACAAACACAAATAATTCTTGTGGCCTGAAAAGCAAACTCTGGAATCTGAGCCCACAAAAGGGTGTGGTGAAGGGCCCAAGGCCTCTGGTTTCAGATGCTAGGGACACAGCCAAGCCTACCTGCCTGCTTGGGTCAGGACTCCAGCAGCAGTAGGCAAAGACAGCTGGACGTGTTAATGGAACTAGTCTGGCCTATGGGGCTTATCTATCTGGGTCCTGTCAAGACATCCCTGTCAGGAACAGCTGCCTGCCTTCTTGGTATTCACAGAGCACTTAGGGATGTCACATGCTGGACACTAGTCAGACATGCAGACAGGCCATTTCACCCTTTATCACCCTGTCTGCAAATGGGTAGAAAGCAAAGGTCAATTCTGTCGTCCAAAAGTGACCTAGCCCATTGCCTCCAGTAGACAGGCAACTAAAAGGATGCAGTCTGCTAGGCTCTGCCCACTACCAATCAGGTCCATTTGGAGGGAGACTCTTGGAATGCTAGGGGATTGAGGTAGGGAGGGGGTCTTTGCTGAACCCTTCAGAGGCTCTGCTTGCTGGCAGTTTCTGAGTGTTTCTCACCCACACAGACTGGCAGCCTCCCCAGGGCAGTTGGGGATACAGAAGTCTATACTGTGTAAAGATACTACCAGCTGGCAAACTGATCCCCATGGGACAGGTGGCAGGCTCACTTGTATCATCCCTGATCCACAGGGGTTTGGGCAGGTCTGTGTCAGTGTAGAGGTAGCTGCCTAAGGTGTTACTTCACCTGTGGCACAGACCTTCACCATCTGACCCCACCCAGGGATAGTGAGGAACTTGGAGTCAGGAGAGCAGTGACCCAGGAAAAGCCCCACCTAAAGGGGAAGGCTTGGCATTCATGGTTGGGAGGGTTCCGGGGCACCCTTGGCTTTTGCTCTTGTTAGTGGCATTCACTCCTGCCTGGATGTGCCATGTCTGTACACTGCTCAAAGGAGTTGGGCACCTCAGAGGCTCCGATCTAGCTGGGTCCTTGATCCTCAGCAGCCCCTGCTGGGACCCAGATGACTCTGGGCCTGGGCAGTGTAGGTGATGGCTCAATGCACACATGTATCCAGTGTGTGTGTGTGTGTGTGTGTGTGTGTGTGTGTGTGTGTGTCAGGATAGGAGAGTTAAAATTCTCCGATATCATGCTGGAGATGTAGCTCAGTTGACAGAGTGCTTGTCTAGCATACATAAAGCCCTGAGGTCAATCCCAACACCACATAAACTGGGCATGGTGGCACACACCTGTAACCCAGCACTCTAGAGGTTGAACCAAGAAAATCAAAAGTTCAAAGTCATCCTCAGCTACATAGCAAGTTACAGGCCAGCCTGGGGTTCATAAGACCCTCTCTCAAAAACAACAGTGCCAGGCATAGTGGCACATGCCTTTAATCCCAACATTCAGGAGGCAGAGGCAGGCAGATCTCTGTGAATTTGAGGCCAGCCTGGTCTAAATAGTGAGTTCCATGCCAGCCAAGACTACATAAGGAGACCCTGCCTCAAGAAATTTATGAAATTCCCTATCAGTTGGTGTTTCCTTCTAAAAAGGAAATACAGCAAGTAGGTGGGATTCCGAGAATCCATTTGGGGGGTTTGTACTCACTCCCAAAGGGGTGGCTGATTTTCTGAGCAAGGTCACCCACACAGCAAAGTCAGTATGAATGTGCACAGGCTATCTGCCTGATGTAGGAAGAGGCCATAGTTGAAGTGCTTGCTGCACCTGCCCAGCTGCCCCTCCTCTTCCCAGGCATGTACTTATAGGTGTGTGTACACACAGGCTTTGCTCAGAGGACGCAGGTACATTTTACTCACTTCTCCCACCCATCACTAAGGCAGAATTGGAAGGTGCTCCAAAGAACCCTTCCCACCTGGGATGGGATAGAAGGGACCAGAAAACATCCCACCCTGATAAGCTTCTTGGGAGTCATGAGGCCGAACCTGGTGCTGCAGCTACAGGACACCAGAGCCTATAATGTACCCACTTTACAAAGGAGCAGAATGACTCCCCAAACTGCATGGTTTACAGTCCAACACGGAGCTCCCATTGAGCAAGGCTGCCCTCCACAGTTTCAAGTGACCATGGCCAGAAATCTCTCAGATAAGCACCCACTCTGCTAAGAACACAGGGTGACGCCCTCAAAGCTACACAGTCAAGGACAACAGGTTGACCAATGGTAGTGCGCTCTCCAAAGTAATGGTACTACTCACTCTGGGCACAGATGCTTCAGCCTGGCACCCACCTACTTGACTTCTGGAGAGGCTACACCTGGCCAGGGCACACCTCAGCATCTCAGATGCCATGAAGCAAACAAGCCTTTCCAGAAGGGCAGTGCTCTGAGTAGCTGAGGCTGGTCCAGCCCACCTGCAGTGAGGGAGTGGGGTTCGGTGCACACCCATCTCAGCTCACCTGCGCCCATCGTCCTCTCATGGTCATTGTTATGGGGGCCTCGTGGGAGCAAATGGTCATGACAGTGTGAGCCCAGGGAAGGGGACAGGGAGGTAAAGGAGTGAGCTTTGACCCCAGAACACTGAGGGGTGCATTGCAGCTGCCTAGAAGGCCATGGCCCACACCCCATACTCACATACTGTTGCTTCTTATCAGACAGTAGTCTGGTCATCTCCTCCCTTTCCCTTTTAATTTCTTTCTCGTCATAGTAAAACTCACGGACGGTGAACCTCAAAGCAAGCAGAGCACAGCTTTCTCTGAGTAGCTTCCAGGAGGAGCAGAGACATCACCAGGAAACACACATCAAACAAACCCCAAGGAGCCCACCACCCATACCCTTACTTGTTTTCTTTGGCTTTGACTTTGAAATCATTGATCACTTTTCGAAAGAGAGTCACTGTGAAAAGGCCGCCCTCATTGTCCTCAGCAATCAATCTGTTGAGGAGAAATGGTTCATTCACTGAGTGATCACCAGTCACCCTGTGCTAGGCCTTGAGCTGGAGCTGGGCTCAGAAGGGCCTGTCTTCACCTTAAGAGGTTTCCTGGGCCTGGTGGCCTATGCTTGGGCCCCTGGCAGCCACCAGGGACTGGGAAACAGGGGCACCCTGATAGCTTCCTAGCTCCTGCCTCCCACTCACCCACCCCTCTAGGCACCAGCCTCAGAACCAGTGGATCTACTGATTTGAGAGTGATAGGGAGTGTAGCATCTGGTTTGTCTTATGTTCCTCAAATGGCTGAGGGATCTAGCCCCTCCAGGACCCTGGCTGCCACAGCTGGCACACATATCCCTGGCTCTGCAGAAGCAAGAAGCAGAAGCCATTCCATAAAGACCATACCACTTCCAACATGACAAAGCCCTATCTGGGTATGTCATGCCTAGCGTGCTGCAGCCTTGCAGTCACTGTCCCCAGCAACAGGAGGCCAACAGTCTAAACATCCCTAAGTTCCATGGGCCAGAAATTTGAAACTGCTGGCTTTAGGGCCTAGGCATGGCTCACTGGCAGGTCATTTCTTCTGTTCTTAGAGCCTGTACATATGAGGACTGCCCCCAGGCCCCAGAACTTTCCAGAATTGTTGGTGCTGCCTCTTAAGCACCCTCTTAATCATGAAGAACCCAAAGACTACTCTGTGGCTCACCTTTCAAGCTGTCCCTCTGATAAGAACCCTAGTCTCAAGAGTAGTGGATACTTGTGCCTAGCAGGCAAGTCCAGGCTGCTGCTCCCTGTGCCCAAAAATGTACCTCCCCTTTGTCCTTCCACCTCCCTAAGACCTCAGGCTGTGACCATCCTGTTTCTTATACCCCTCAATTTAGCTCCTGATAGCTATTTCCTGTGAGTTAGTAGCAGGCTCCTCAGGGCTAAGATTTCAAGAATGGATGAGATTGAATAGGATGGGGGAGTAGGCAGGATAGGACACGATGGGGGAGTATGGTGGGATGGGATGGAGGAGTAGCTTCTGCCTCCTTCTTCACCGCAGTCTGCAGACCCAGAGATACTTATGTCAGCTGCAGCAGCCAGGGCCCTGGAAGGGCTGGATCACTGAGCCATTTGAGGAGCGTAAGACCAACCAGACACTGTACTCTCCACCACTCTCAAGTCAGCAGATCCACTGGAGCCTCCAAGGCTGGTGCCTGGGAAGCTATAGGATGGGAGGGGGTAGGATAGGACAGGGTGGGGGGAATAGGGTTGGATGGGGGATAGGATTGGATGGGATGGGATAGGATGGCATAGAAGAGAATGGGATGAGATGGGATGAGAGTAGGATGGTGTGGGTGGGATGGGATGGGGTGGAGTGAGATGGGATGGGATGAGGTAGATGGGGTAGGGTAGAATTGGGTGAAGTGGTGGGGAAGATGAATAAGCCCAGCCTACCTGTAACTCAATCTTAACTTTCATTTATATATACATAAAAGTACCCATCTTGGAGTCACAAATAACTTTCACAGTTGAGAGTTTCCCAGGCTCCCGTTGCACTGCACTAGTCTCTTGGCTGCAGGTCTCCCCTAACCTGCAAGTGACTTTTTCTCATTTCCATGGCCCCCATGATTCTACTGCGGATTGTGTTATGCCCTAAACACTGAGACATTCCTGTCACATACTTTTTTAGACTCTATAAAAATGGCATTGTTCTCTTTATACCTGTAACAATGAACCTTCTTCACTCATTCTCAGAGTGAGGATCTCTGAGTCACTGCTTTTTCTGGTTGTGTAGTACTCCATGATGAACACAGGTTCAAACCAGTCCTGCCTGTCATTTCTGCAGTGCCCCTAGAATGCAGCTGTTCTAACCCCCCAACAGGCTACACATTGAGACTGTCTCTCTCCCCGACTGGAACTCTGGCCAATCCCTGGGATGTTTGGGTATTTGCTGGACACATCCCCCTCCCCAGGTGGAGCAGAATGGATACTTAATACAGAATACAGAGCATGCAAGCAGAGGGCACAGGAGAGGCCCTGCTGGATGCAGCCAAGATAGCCTTCCCAGAGGAGTGGGGAAGTGGAGCTTTGAAAGACAAAGGCAGATTGGCATGCCACAAGGTGCAGGGCCAAGGAATTATAGGCCTCAAGAAGGCAGACGTATGGGGCTGTGAGGTGTCACACCCTTACAGCATGTTTGGTGACCAGGTACCCAGCGCACCCACATATGACTCTCTGTGGACCCAGACCAAGCTGGGGTCTCACTTACTTAGTTGACCGAGGGACCACCATGTCTGAGAGAGACTCGTAGGTCTTCTGCCACTGTGCATAGCTTGACCTGGGAGGACAGAATCCTTGAGTACTTTTGGCAGAAAGGGCTCCTAGTGTCTCAGGAAGCCATGTGTGCTTTTTCCCACAGAGTGCCCGAAACATCCTCAGAGGTCCAGCTGTGGCCCTGCCCTATCCTGAGCCAAGTCTGCATTCAAGGGCCCCAAGACTTCCCAAAAGGTCTCTGTATGGAGAGCTCAGTTTGTATTTGCAGCTTACTAATAACTTTCTGATCTTGGCCTGGGTGGCCTGATACGAGGTGACCCTCGGGTCAAAATGGAATAAAAGGCACCCCAAGCTTGTGGACATGAAAGATTGTCTAGATTTGTAGCATATAACACAAGTACTCAATAAATGCTCCATCATTGCCACCCCTTCCCACTTCTGTGCCTGTAGAGACAGTGGCCTTCTGGGGACCCTGTGCAGTGCTGACCTGGGGTCATCAGGGCAGAAGGGGCCCACCTTGCTCTCCACTGGACAAGGCACCCCCACTACCTTCCTGGCCACATACTTAGGAACAATGACCAGCAGCGTGATGAGATATTCCGAATCAAGCACAAAGTCTTCTTTGCTGACAATATCACTCAGTGTCCTAGTGAAGAGGTTCCCCCTGGAAGGCAGAGGAACAAAAGGTATGATGGGCAGAAAGAGGCTCATCAACCCCACATGCTGTAACACCCAGTCAACCAGGAGGAAATGGAGCAGGCTTGGGGGAGTCTCCAGGAAGGTAAGCCTTGGATGCAAGCCCAGGACTATAGAGTTGTAAGAGAGTGCCACCTCAAGTGCAAGGAGGCTGGCAGAGCCTTGGCTGCTATCAGCAGTCACTCAGGGGCTGCCGAACTCAACACCTCAGTGACCTTCCCTGGCCCTCAAAAGCCACCCACCTGCTAGAAGAGGACCTCAGGTGGCAGACAGCTAAGGTTACTCAACATCAACACAGTGACCAGGTCTCTAAGCTGCATGGGACAGATAGGCCTAGATAGAGCTCTGTGTCACTTTACAGGCTGTTCAGTCCAGCAGCCAGGGACACTCACCTGAAATAGCTTTGTTATGCCACCTGCTCTGGCTCAAATGAAGAACACGGTATGATAGCGCACAGATCAAGGATGGCGTATAGACAGATACAGCTGTCACACAGGCACAATGGTTCCTGAGACTGCACAACCCTCACCCAGAGCCCAGAGAGCACCAGGGCTGTGGTGTTAAGCCCACTGCTTCCCACTTCCCAAGCACAGAGCCAAGGCAAAAGCCTCAAAGACCAGGGGGAAGCCCCATCCTCCAAGAGTTCTCCCTGCCTCTGAGCCTGTATTCCTTCCTTCCTGCCCCCTGACAGCACCGTCACCACATAGCTGTGGACAAATCCCAGTGGGACCCCTCCAGAGGCAGCTGAGGCACAGCTACTCTGTCACCACAGAAAACACATTATTTTTCTGCTATGTGACCTCATCTCTAGTTTACCTCTGCACTCCAGCACAAAGCAAACTTTCTACACTTGATGAATGAATAATTGTGACTGCAAATGTAGGACCTGTTTCATTTTGCTTTATATCTTTAGGACCTGAGGGGACTCTGTAGATGCTTTAAAATGTACACAGAGAGAAGAAAATAAGGAGCTAGCCAAAGAATGCTGCTCAATAATTCAGTCAGTGACAACAAATCAATTGATGATCAATGAGGGACACAAACCAGCTGAGTGAAGAGGTTAGACCAGTAATCTGCTAAAGTTTAAACAGATTATTTATTTACTTACTTTATGTACACGTGTCAGGACACCTGTATGGAGGTCAGAAGACAACCTGCAGGAGTTTTCTCCTTCCACCATGTGAGTCCCAGGGATTGAACTCGGGTGGTCACACTTGGTGGTAGGTACCTTGACCTGCTAAGCCATCTCACCAGGCCCCAAACTGATTTTTAAAAATTATGTGCATGTACGTGTATCTGTGTGTGGGTATGTAAATGTGGGTACAGTTCCCGTCAGAGGCCAGAAGACGGCATCAGACCCCTAGAATCAGAATTATAGACAGTTGTGAGCCACCATGTAGGTGCTGGGATCCACACTCAGGTCCTCTAGAAGAGTAGTACATATGCTTAACCACCAAACCATCCCTCCAGTACCCCCCTCAAACAAATTCTTAATAAGCCTATGACTTGGTGGTAAAGTGAGTGGATGGCAGCATACTCCGGGCCCCAGGCTCACAAGTTCTAAGCCCTGAGCTGTGGTCACTAAAGCCCACCTTACTCCTGTCCTCTGTCACTCACATCCAGGTAGCTCTGAGATGGAGTCAAGCAATCGAAACTGAGTTTCTAACTGATATGGATCTCACTGTGTTTTTTCATTTTCCACCAAGGACTGCAGCCTCAGTATCCCTTCTCTGGAAGGCCAGAAGGACCAGAACATTTTGGATCTGGGATTGTTTTGGACATTTGAATATTTTATAGACATAATGAAAGAGCTCTCTTGAGGATGGGACACAAGCTGAAGCACAAATTCTTGACTTTATATAGGCCTCACACAATAGCCTGCAGGTAAACTTACACAATAATTTTAGTGTCTGTGTTTTGGCTGTGGCCAGAGCCATGAGGTCAGGTATGGAATTTCTCCATTTACAGCATTATGCTGACATTCAAAATTTTCCATTTTTGAAGCATTTTTCATTTTGGGTTTTCAGATTAGTAATGGTCAACTTGTATTTGCTTTTGTGGCTAGGAAACCTAGCCCAGGGACCCTCAAGAGAGACACACTATAGAAGGTGGCGTTCTCTGGCTCACATGTACCTATCTGAGGGAGGCTGACTCTGAACTCCTGGGCCACTCCTCTTTTTGGATTATCTTCAGAAATCATCAAAAGATCAGAACTAGAATCTGGGGGTGCTGGGGGCTCCATCATGCTCACTCATGCCTATCCATCCTCCCCACCTCTCCAAGAGGTTGCCTAACTTCTTACACACCTTCAGTGTCAAGGTGCTCACTACTACCCCCAAGATGATCCTTGCCATGGTGGCCCTGAGCTTGCTTTTCTACCGATTCCACCACTTTACTGTTTGGTCTGTCTGGGGCCCCAAGTTGTCTATACCTCTCCATACAGCCAGGAGGACAGATGGTACCCGAGTCCCTGCAACTGCCCCACCCTGGGCTGCTGACCACTATCCTACCTGCCCTTTGCAGAGGGCTGGGCTCTGACATCCTATCCTCCTGCTTCCCCATCCCCATTAGCTTGGATATCAGGACAAGGGCCTGGGCAGGCTCCTTGGAGCTCTTATAACTGGGAGAGGAAGGGAAAAGGAAGGAACAGAGCAGGAAGCAGCATTGTGCTTCTTTGGACACAAGCAGGCACCATCACCCCACCTGGCTCTGTCCTCTCTTCTTCTGCTCCACATCCCCAGGGCACAGCCCATCTGTCCACCTTTCTCATACCCAGCTCAGTCTCCAAGCCCCCAGCTATAAGGAAGGCAAGAGCAGAGGTCTCCACCCCCCCAGACTCATGCACCAAGCACACAGTGGGAGCCAGGACGCACGTGGATTTCTTCTCCAGGTTCTCCAGGTTGGTCTTTAGAACATTGTAAGAGGCTATGCGGGACTTCAGGTCTGTCTCAATCTGCGTCAGTTGCTGGGGGATAAGGAAACATTCCTGGTAACATTGAGGAGTTGGTGAAACTTTTCAAAAATCTACCAAGCATTCAGGCAAATTTAGTCCAATCCAGCCATGGTGGTTTATTCCTGTAATCCCAGCTGAGACAGGAGGATTAGGAATTCAAAGTCATCCTCTGCTACATAGTAAAATGGAGGCCAGCCTGGGCTGCATGGAACCCCGTATAAAAAAGAAAAGAAAAATGGCAACTTGTCCACTCGTTGGGGGTGGTCCCATCCATCTCCCTCCTGTCCCTCCCAACCCCTAGCACCTGGCCCTCATGGTCAGTCTCCACATAGGGAGGTGGAAGGGTTCAACGTGTCACTTTACAGGTCCCAAGGTACAAGCCACACAGCTTGCCCAGCATCACACACCAGCTTAGGCTCCTCGCTGGCAAGTGCATACTGAGCTTCTAGGAACCCCACAACCCCACATCCAGCTCCCTTGGCTCTGCTAGAGGGCAGCCAGTGATCCCACCCTGGTTTCCATTGCGACCCACCACACAGCCTCCCAACTGCCCACCTATCCCCACTTGGCTGCAGCCTGTTCCTAGCCTATTGAGGCATAATGACTGAGAGCCTCTGCTTCCCACCTCAGTCTCCCCATCCACCTAACAAAGGAGTAATGTCTCTGTTGGAAGGGTTGGCCACAGTGATTCAGTTGTTAAGAAGGCTGTGGTAAACAAGCATTCAGATGTTCCAGAAGGTGGTGATTCAGTGCCACAATGAGCCCCTCCCACAGGTTGAGGGCTGTGGTAATTTAAAGGCTCACAGCAGATCTGGCTCTATAAGGACAACACTGCAGTGGCAAACACCCTGCGGCGATGACTAGAACAGGTGGATATGTATCAGGGAATGCATGGGTGCATATCAGCTGATAAGCAGTGGTAGGCAGTGCAGGACCAAGTCTATAGTCCTGAACACACAAACCACCTCACCAATCCCTTGCTGTGCTTAGCAGTGCAGTGTGATGAGAGGATTTACACTCCCAGTGTGAGTGCATGTGGTAGGGCAGTTCATGTCACTGATAGGGGGATGCTAAGAATGATCTGATGAAACCCACAATACTGTGCCAGTTCTGAGCTTATAGACTGGATATTCAAAGGTCCTCTCTGAACCTTAGACACTGGTCACCTATACAGAGGAGAAGAGAACAGGAATTTAACAGTAGCAGGAGGCCTTCAGTGTTCCTATCTTTACACCAGTTTTTTGAATAAGATTTATCTTTTCCTTGAAATTTTAAAAACTTTAGTTTTAAACAAGTGTGGATTACCAGAAAGTTGCAAAAATGCTCCACAGAGACTCCATGTTCCCTTTGTCCGGCTTCCTCCACTGATGACATGCACCTATACTAGGTTCCACAGACTGTACAGCTACACTGTACATTTTGTACCTCACCACACACCACACTCAAGGTACAGCCATACCATATAACTATACAGCTGTACAATACAACTAAACCGCCACTCTGGAAGAACAGCAAGGTGAGGCTGGGGCCATTACAGGTGTTGGTTCAGGAAGGACAGAGAATCCAGGCTCCCATCTCCTCTGCCCCAGCTAGCATTGGTTCCCAGAGATGGAACCATCCCAAGGCTTCCACAGGGAGTGGAGTCATGCACAAAGCACAACTTGTGGAGTTTGGTCCTCTGCCCCTTATCCCCTCCCAGTCTCATGCTTCAACAGCTTTGGGCCTGGGTACCCTGGACTAGAGGGAAGCTGGCCAGATATCCTCCATAACTATGTTGCTCTTCTTCTTCCCCAGGTCAGATACAGCGTCCTTGGGACTCAGAATCCCAAGTTGGCATGACCAACCCCACAAACAACTATGTGCTGTGGCTCGGTGGTGGATATGTGTGACCATCTCTTGGAACCCACACCTGCCATAGTGCCCTGGGCTACCCCTGCTTGAAGCACCTTCCAGAATCCACCTGACTGTCTAGGCAGAGGGATGAAAGAACAGCTTGAGCAGTGCCATGCCCAGATTCCCAGGAGACCTGAAGGAGAAAAGTACCTGGGGCCACCCTTCCTGTCCTGAGCCACCTACCACCCTCAGGGAAGCTCAGCTCTTTAGAAAACATAGTGGCTTTGTTCAGGGCAGAGCTGAGATCTCTCCAGCTAGCAGGCCAGCCAAAGATGTAAAGGAGGTTCTGTATGTTCCGGCAAGAGGGAGGGACAGTCAGTCTTCACCCACAGTGAAGATACATAGAAGTCACCTTGGCTACAGGATGCCCACAAAATCCCCACAGACTCATTCTATGGGGTTTATATTTCATCAAGTGTAAACTGGAAGCCACGGTTTAGCAGAGAGCAGTCTGTGCTTATTGTCACAAGCTGCCCAAGGGATGAGTTGCCACTATGGGACTGAGAGGTAGGGCTCCTAAGCCGAACTGTTTTCTAATGCAATGAGGTTTTGAAAACAATCACCCAGAGGATCTGGGCCTTGTGGCCAAGGCCTGCAAGTCCAGCTACTAAGGAGGCTGAGGCAGAAGGATCAAAAGTTTAAGGCCAAATTCAGCAACAGAGTAGTTTCAAGACCAACCTGGGCAACTTATGAGGCCTTATTTCCAAAATAAAAAGTAAAAGTAGGGCTGGGGATGCAATTTTTAAATTGCTCAGTTTATACAAGGCTCTAGGTTCTACCCCCAAGTACCACAAAATCAATCTATCCATCAATCAATCATCCAGACGTCATCAGGTCACCTAGTATATAGTAGGGGACCTGATCATAATTTTTGAAAAGTAGGGGAGTGAAGTGAGTTAGGTACTGGGGTGTGGGGTCAGAACGCAGGTGTCTCAGGCCCATCCAGGGGGCTCTTGTAAGACCACAGCCAGCTCTCTGCATGAAAGGGACAGGATAAGTGTACATAGGAGCTTCTCCCTGAGTTTTAACCTTGCCCAGGGCACAGCAAGAGGTCACATTCCAATCAGGACTGGTTGGAGACCTACCCAGAGTCACTTATAAGGATAGCATCCCAGTCCATTGCCTCATCAAAATTCCAATGCTGGATGGGGCTGGAGAAACGATGGCTCATGGTTAAGAGCACTGGTTGCTCTTGCAGAGGACAAGGGTTTGAGTCCTGGCACTCACATGGCAGCTAACAACCATCTGTAACTCCAGTTCCAGGGAATTTGATGCCCTCATCTGACTTCTGTGGGAATTGCATGACATGGGTATATATGCATAAATATATGCAATACACTTACACACTTAAAAAAGTAATAATAAGCCGGATGTGGTGGCGCATGCCTTGTAGTCCCAGCACTTGGGAGGCAGAGGCAAGCAGATCTCTGTGAGTTCAAGGCCAGCCTGGTCTACATGGTGAGTTCCAGACCAGCTGGGGCTATGGGGAGACCCTGTCTCAAAAAGACAAAAAAAAAGTAATAATGAAATATTTTTAAAAATTCTAAGCCATGCAATGTCTCAGATGTCAGCTGTCCCCAAGCAAGCCCTCCTCACCTTGGCCAGTGTGTCCACCACGCTCACCAGTGGCTGCTTGGCAGGGTATTTGGCCATGTCCCATTCGAAGTGAGTCACAAAGGATGTCAAGTCAACTGAAAGAGCAAAGACAGTTCAACAAGTGAACACAGCCCTCTTGCCACTCAAGACTAAGACCCAAACCCAGAAGAGAGCCAGGCAAAGTAAAGCTGAGCTTGCTGCTCAAACCAGGAAGCAGTCAGTGAGAAGCCATGGAGCAGACCTGGGCTCTGGAGGTATAGTCACTCCCTATGGGAATAGTTCAGAGCCAGCAAGATGGGAGATGGGCATCAGCTTCACCCCCAAATACTCCAAAGCCAAGGGAAGGGCACTACATGTAACAGGTACTCCCTGAGCCCCAAGGTCTCCCTCTACACCTGTCAGTCCTAGTCGGCTATGCAGAAGGTCTGCTCTCCTAGAGGTGAAAACCAAGCAGGTGACATTCTGGGGCCACTGGCCACTTGTCAATGCTCTCCATTTGCTTGGGCTACACTCCCCAGTTAGATCACCATTCTATTTTGAGGCACCCCACAGGCACACCAGAGAGCATCAAACCAGCCCCTGAAAAATCACATGGCCATGCCAGTCACAGTCCCATGCCTGTCACAGGTACCACCTACTTTTGGACTAGTCTTCCAGCTCCTTGAGCCTTTACAGGAGCAAGGCAATGTCAACCCACACCGTCTAAGGAAGACACTTCACATTAGTCACACACTGGAGCCTGTCTGTGACTAACTTTTCCAAACCCAGAGCGATGGGCATTGTTCAGTGTGTGCCTTTTAAAGTCTAAAGTGAGCAGAAAGCACCAACATTTTCATCAAAACCAAGCAAACCTCACTACCTGCAGGGTGTCCCTGCCTGCCCTAGCCAGCTATAGGGTGAGGGAACGAAGTGAGGAAGCCTAGCTGATTGTGATAATTAGTTTTAGTTGTTAACTTGATACAATCTGGAATCACTTGGGAAGAATCTTGGTGTAGGACTGTCTAGATCAGATTGGCCTGTGGGCCTATCTGTGGGGGATTGTCTTGACTCAGAAAGACCAAAAGTTACTTTTGTCAGAGTATTGTATCACAACAGAAATGAAACTGGGACACTGACTTAGAGCCACAGGCCCCAAATGTTCACCTCTTAAAGGTTTGTTTGTTTTGAGACAGGGCCTCATACTCTGCACTCCAGTCTGGTCTGGACCTCACAATGTAGCCTAAGTTGGTCTTGAACTCATGGCAATCTGCCTGCCTCAGCTTTCCAGGTGCTGGTATTACAGGTATGAGGTACCAAGCCTGACTTAAGGGCTTACTCTTAAATGCTCTCTGCATGCCAGAGAGTGCTATGAAGGCTGTGTCAGGCCTGTTACCCTTTTCTCCTTCCCTTCCCTTCCCTTCCCTTCCCTTCCCTTCCCTTCCCTTTCCTTCCTTTTCCTTTTTTTTTCTTTTCTTTTGTCTCTTATGTGGCCCAGGCTGGCCTCAAACTCCTGAGCACAAGCCATCTTCCTAACTCAGCACCCCTGAGTAACTGGGATGACAGGTGTGTACCACCACACTCAGCTCATTATGTCTCCTTAGTGTGTGCTCTGTGGCAGTGGGACATTCAGTGGCTGTGTCAGGGCTGTGGTGTCTTCCAATCCTAGCAAGACAGCCCTGCCCAGGTGGAATTTCCCGAAGATTCTGCATGCCTTTCCCAGTGCATCCTTGAAGGCCTGCCATTACCCTCTGAACACACGGTCACTTTTCCCTATGTGGAGCCTGGCTCTCTGCTAACACCATTCCCACCCACCTTCAAGCGCTCATAAGTGTGTCAGGGACAAATGGGCAGTGATGAGAGGATGGCAGTGGGCTCTGAATCCTCCTACGGAGGCCACCACAGCTTCAACTGGGCAGGGACACCCACTGAGTCTGACAGGCAGGGGCTGCAGCACGTGGCTGTCAGATATTTGCGGGAACAGGAGTTCAGATGAGGTTGACATAGCAGGGAGGTGGGCAGGTACTGGGCAGGAAGGTAGACTGACCAGGTATGAAATCATGTCTGCACCTGTGGGCAAGACATTGGTCATGGAGGAAAAAGTCAGGGGCACATGCTATGGGAGAGTCTTGTGTTGGGAGTGGACAGAAGCCAGTGGGGTGTGGAAGAGAAGAGGAGACTGAGGGGGCAGAAGCTGTGGGAGTAGCAAGGAGGGGACCCACTTGACAGGATACAGGGTCAATGACACATAGGGTACAAAGGAAGTGACACCCAGATTCCTAGGCTGGGTGACTAGGTAGAGGGAGGGAAATGCATTCATCTGGGAACCACAGAGCAGGTAGACGAGGTAGAGGGGATGAGTTCAGTTTGGGCAAGGCTGGCTTTGATATGTGAATGCACAAGTTCCCAAAAAGAAGATGGAAAGCAATGAAGACTCAAGAGGAAAGTGGCCCTAGCACTTAAGGCAGGGAACACCTTAAAATAACAGGGATGATGATGCTAACCATTGAAAGAGATGACACAGACTCGCGGCTTACCTTGGGCAAAGACATGAATCATCTCTAATTTACTCTTCAGTCCTATTAAGGGCGGTCATTATCTCCATGAGGAAACTCCAGCACAGAGTAAGTTACGTAAGCTCCATTATAGCAGGAGAAAATGACCCTGCCCATCACAAAGAAGGGTCTGTGGTCCTTCTCCCTGTCATGTCCACTATCAGGACCCAGCTATGCTGAGGTGGAAGAGGGAGACTCACTCCTCCACCAGCCCCTTCACAAGAACCACACTCATATTTCCTAGAGCAGCTGAACTTGGACAAGGTTCTTAAGAGAACCCATGCTGGACATTAACAATACTGGTGTTGGAATTTACACAGCACACCTTGGCCTGTGATAAGAGAAGCTCTAAAATGCTAGGGGTGGGGCCCTCATCAGATAGGATTCATGTTCTTGAAAGAAGGGACATCAGAGTCCTATCCATGCTTACTCTCTCCCCAAATGCAGTCAACAAGGAAAGGCCATGTAAGGACACAGCAAGGTGACTGCCCACAACCAAGCAGAGAGCCCTCATTAGAACCTGAATCACCTGGCCAGGTATGGTGGTGCAGAGCCACAATCTCAGCTCTTGGGAGGGTAAGTAGGAGGATGCCTTGAGTTTGATGCTAGCCTGAGCTCTAGAGTGAGTTCTTATTTAAGCCTCCTGGTGTGTGAAGTTCTGTTGATGGTAGTCTAGTTGGACTGACAGATTTTAGTGTAAGTTGTGACATTAGGATTGTTTGTTTGTTTGTTTGTTTGTTTTGAGACAGGGTCTCCCCATAGCCCCAGCTGGCCTAGAACTCATTATATAGATCAGGCTGGCCTCAGTCTCACAGCAATCCACCTGTCTCTACCTCCTAAATGCTCGGATTAAAGGTGTGTGCCACCACGCCCAGCCATTAGGACAGATTTTGTCATTGCCATGCTCCAGAAGCTAAATAAGGTCATGAAGGGCCACTCTGGGGAAAGCAATGCTAACTGTGGGCAAGCATTGGGCAAGAGAACTTCTACTGGTCATCCCAAGCCCATCCCAAAGGTGAAGAACCAACCTCAAGGTGGCTGAGCAGTAGCCAGGACAGATGTCAAAGGGATGTGTTTTCAAGGGCACGCCCTCTCCACCCTTTGTATCATCTCCAACATCCCAGAGTCCTTCCACTCAAGCCAAGTACTGCCTAAACCCTCACCCTCTCTCCCTGCTGCTCTGACAATCTCTCCCTTTGCTGAAAGCACTATTGACACTGCTTAGCCACCAGGCACTTTCTTGCATTCTCAGGATCCTTCAGGACAAAGCTGAGACTCACTTGTCCCTGCGTCCCCAGTACCTGTCACAGCACCTCACACAGAATCAAGGATTCCACAGAATACTGAAGACACTGTGCTCCTCACAGCCAAGGCCGCCCTGGGAAGTCGCATTCTCTAAGATGTTTGGAAGAAACCCATTTTAGAGCAAACTCTGGTCTTCATGCCTTGTTACCAAATCCAAGGCCTTTGTGGCCTTCACTCCTAGGAGGGCATGTTCCACTGCTGGGTGCAAGGTACTGTGGGCTGGTCCCAAATGAGGCTGTGAGCTCCCAGGGGCAAAGGATATGCTTCTGGGCTATCAATCATCATTTATTTGGACAATTCTGGGGAAACTTAAATTGAATGAAGTTTTAAAATGTCTCTTGACTGTAGAACTTTGATGTTAGGGTGCATGGCTAAGGTTTGGCCACTACTGTCCCAGTGGGCCTTTGGCAGGGCTAGTTCACGGAGCATGTCAGAAACCCTAGCCTCAGAAATTACTGGAACCAAATGACAGAAATAATGCAACAGAAGGCAACTTTGTCTTAGTGACAGCCCACCTAGTTGAGGGATGGATATAACACAGTGATGACGCCTTCATTTAAATTGGAGTAGAAGGGAACATTTGGTTTGTTTGCATTTCATGGTTTGTTTTGCTTTGGTGCAACTTAAGGATAGAACCCAGAGCTTTGCCCTTCTCTAGCCCCATGGCCAATGAATCTCATTCTGAGCCCTGGACTGTGGTGAACATTATTTTGATCAGTATTTTAATGTATGCTTAAATCCTCATTCTTAGTGCTCTAAAAATCTTTTTTTTAATTAAAAAATAAATAAATAAAAATAAAAAAATCACATTTAACAAAACATAGTATGGCAAACAGCATTTTAGAAGACAATTGCAACTTCCAATCTGTAATGATTTTTTAAAATATTTTACTTATTATTTTTTTATTCTTTTTGGTCTTTTTGAGACAGGGTCTCCCTGTATCCCCAGCTGGCCTGGCACTCACTATGTAGACCAGGCTGACCTTGATCTCACAGAGATCCTCCTGCCTCTGCCTCCTGAGTGCTGGGATTAAAGGCATGTGCCATCACGCCTGGCTTTATTTATTATTTTTATTTTATGTGCATGAGTGTTTTGCCTGCATGTATATAAATTCACTCGTGTCCTACAATGCCTGCGTAGGTCATTAAGAGGGCGTCAGATCCCCTGGAACTGGAGTTACAGGTGGTTGTCAGCTGCCATATGGGTGCTGGGAATCAAACCCAGATTCTCTGAAAGAGCAGCCAGTGCTCTTAACTGCTGAGTCAACTCTCCAGCCCCTCCCCGCCCCCCTATCTGTGTAATGATTTTTTTTTTTCTCATTGCAGCTGGTTTGTTTGTTAGTTTGTTTGTTTGAAGCAGGGTCTTCCTGTAGCCCCAGCTGTCCTGGAACTCACTATGTAGACCAGGCTGGCCTTGAACTCACAGAAATCCACCTGCCTCTGCCTCCCAAGTGCTGGGACTACAGGCATGCACCACCACGCCCGGCCTGTAATGATTTTTAACAACTTTAAATCACTTGCTTGGGCTGAAGATGTAACTCAGCATAGCCTATCATGTACAAGGCCCAGGATTTAATCCTCAGCACCACATAAACCAGGTGTGCTGGTGCATACCTGTAAATCTCAGCACTGGAGGTGGAGACAGAGGATCAGAAGTTCAAGACCACCCTCAGCTACATAGTAAGTTTGAAGCCAATCTGGATGACATGAGACCCTATCTCAATAAAATAAAATAGCTTGCTGTTCCATTCTGCCAGTTGGAGCAGATTGGAAGAAACACAAAGCCAATGGCTCTGTCTAACAGTCACACCAGGAGTGGTTTGTTTCAGTACCATCCCAGGAGACTTAATGGCCTATGTGAACCTTGTCAAAGCCACACAAAGCAAAGCCTAGCATTTAAGCTGACAGGGTCCCTTAAGCAGACAGTCCCACAAAGCAGATGGAATGCCAGGGCAAACTTTAAGACCAGGAGGAGGAGAACACAATAAAAAGATGCAGAAGTTCACCTTGAACTCCAGAGTCAGCACATTCCAGGTAACATGCAGGATTGCTCAGGAGAGGCAGAGGGTAACAGGAGAAAGTGGGGGACAAGAATGAAATGACAACAGTCTGTGTCACATGGGTATGGTGAGCAAGCGCCAAGGTAAGAAACTGCTGCAGCCTGACCACTGTACCCCTACAACCAGACTGAACCTCCATCTTCCCAGGACAGCAACACACTGAGCAAGTGCACAGCACACGATGCACAACCTACTCTTTAAACATTTCATCTTTTCCTTCAAACCTGAAATATAAGATAGGGTCATTAAACCACAGAGATGTGCAAAGCCAAGTTCAAGTTCAGATGGGAGAGAATGAACATTTCCATTTGCCAATTTAAACTAGTAAACTTAAAAGCCTTTTAATGCTTCCAGGAGGGACTATGCATGCTTGAGCACGTGTGCATGCTCCTGTGTGCTTGTTCATGCCTGTGTGTGTGTTCATATATATTCATTCTACTTATTAAAAATGATATACACATTAAATATATATGCTCTCATTTTCAATAAATATGCACAGAGTTATATAAATTTAATTCTCTCTACAGATACTTAAGCATTTAATTCTGGAGTTTTCAAAATGTCCAAGTTTTTTTTTGTGTGTGTGTATTTTTGGTTTTGTCTTTTGAGACAGAGACTCATATAGCTCAGGCAGGCCTTGAGCTCACTATGTAGTTGAGGATGATCTTAAACTCCACCTTCCCAGTAGTGGGATTACAGGTGTGCACCACCATGCCCAGCTTCAATGTCTCGAAGTTTTTGCTGCACATTTTAAATGCAGTCCAAATGGTACACACACAGTTAACAGCCAAAACAACACTGATGGCATCTGAAGATGTGTCCCATGAGCCCAGAGGAGACAAAAACTCAAAACTGGGGTATCTGTCACAACACATTTGGAGTACAGCCCTGATGACAAGTAAAACTTGGAGGCATTGCTCAGCTAATGCATCCACATTTCATGCCTTGAAAGAAAAAGATGAGAGAGTGGAGGTGTGTGGAGTGTTCCATTCATAGCACAGTGGAGGTTAACAGAGCAAGTGGGAGGCCGAACAGGAATCTAGGTTCAGACTCACTTAACCCTGTTTATTTCACCTTCCACTGTGGAGTTCATCAATAGAGAAAGACACATCCTGTACCCTAGAATGGAAACAGGAGAGCTGGGAGTGTAGTGAGGGGGCTGGTTTCCAAACATGGCTGTGCTATTGCGCTAACATAGAGTTCACGGTCCCTGTCCACCCTAACTATTCAGAGCTCCCACAGTGGCCATGGAGATGGAATTGGCTCCCGAGAAAGAACTAGCCCTCACAGACCTACCTACCTCCATTAGCCAGGAGGTTCTCTTGGACCTTGCCCTTGGAATCTTCCATGACGTCCACCACACTCTGTGTCATTCTTTTTATGAGGCTTTGGAGAGAGAAGAAAGAGCCAGTGAGGGTGGGGAGCTGCCTGGAGGACCACTCACCCATCCTGCTGCCAGTGAAAGCAGGCAATGGAGCCTGAGAGACCTATGGGGGAATGATTTAGCAATCTGTAAAGAGAGACTTAAAATGTTAAGAGTCTTCAAACCAGTCATTCCACTTCTGGGAAACCATCTTGAGGAAACAGGAAAAAAAACAGAAAAGATTTCTGAATAAAAAGATGTTCTTTGCAGCGTGGCTGCTGACAATAAGAAGTTGGAAGCAACGCGAAGGTTCAACAATAGGGAATTGTTTGAGTGATGTTCTATCCAGTTGGGGATTATTAGGCAGCCATTGAAAATAAGACTTACAAGGAATTTCAAATACTGTGGAACAAGGCACGTATTATAATGTTAGATGGAAAAAACCAAGGCAGAAACTTAGACAGTATGGTCACTTGACTGTGCTACTTGTAAATATTATTTCTACCTGATATTTTTCTATTATAATCTGGCATTGATTTTATAATTAAAAAGGCTAAACTTCATGTCTCTAGCAAGCATACTAAAGGAAGAAATTAAAGAAGACACAGGATTTAGAAGTAAAGGGCTCACAATCATCATGGTCTTTCCAGCTACCACATCTACAATTTTGGCCAAATTGATTTGATTTCTTTGAGCCTTCTTTCTCTTATCTACAAAATATGGATTATATTCCATTGGTAGGATTATTGATATTAATACTGATATAATTAACCAGGTGCTGAGCATCCAAGAGCAGGAAGCTGATTGGATAGAAAGCCAGTTGGAATCTACTTTCCAAATTAGGATCATCAATCTGAAATTTTTGCCCATGCAAAGTTTTGCCTCAGGCTTTCTCCACTCACAAGAGTCATATTTGTTGCAAGGAGAATGAACCCAAGTCAAATACAGGGATGTACCACTATGCCCTCTTTGTACTGTACTGGGAACTGAACCCAGGGCCCTGTGTATGCTAGGTAAACACTCTACAAACTGAGCTACATTCTCAGCTCCCCCGCAAAGTTATTGCAGACACAAGTCACACTGGCCATTCAGAGCATGGAGCCTCAGGCCTGACATAGAAACTGAGGCAGAGGAAAATCTTGAAAGACGCTGTTACTGAAAACAAGAGAAGGAAAGAGATCAACATGTCTTCCTGACTAACAAAGCAATTGGTGTTGACGTCCAGAAACTGAAAAAGCACAAATACAAAGTAGTTTAAAAATGAGGACCCACTTTAGAGCTTGTATCTAATCCTTAAAAGATTTTAGGGCTCTTCAGAGGGGGGAATATTAGAGTAGCAAAAAGCCCCATAAAAATAAAAAAATGAAAGAAGAAAAAAAAAGAAAAAGAAAAAAGCGATGGGGAGATAGGGGAGGTGTTGGAGGGGAGGGAGTTGGCATGGATTTGATCAAAACACCTTATATACATGTATGAAATTCTCAATAAACTTTTTGTAAAAGATAAAAAAAAATGAGGACCCACACGGGAGAGGGAGAGGGCTGCAACTCAGTGGCATAACACTTGCCTAGCATGTTCAAACCCTTGATTTTGATCTGTAGCACTGCTTAAAAGAGAAAAAAAAGAACAATGGGCCAGAGATGTAGTTCATGTGCTTGCCTAGCATAGACCAAGCTCTGAGTTCAATCCCACAGAGAACATGGTGTGCTGGTGTATGCCTGTAATTCCAGTATTTGAGAGGAAGAGGCAGGAGGATCAGAGCTTCAAAGTCATCCCTGGCTATTTAACAGGTTTGAGGCCAGCCTGGGCTACATGGGACTCTTTCTCAAAAATAAATGAGAAAATTAATTAATTAACTAAATTTAGGGAGCAGGGGAGATGGCTTAGTGGTTTAAAGTACATACTGCTCTTTCAGAAGACCTAAGTTCAATTCCTAGCACCCACATTGGGCAGTTCACAACCACCTATAACTAAAGCTCCAGGGGATCTAATGTCTCTGGACTCAACAGACATCTGAACTCATAGGCGCACACACACACACACACAAAATTAAAAATAAAATAAAATCTTTTTTAAAAATTTATTTTAAGGGGCTAGAGAGATGAATCAGCAGTTAAGAGCACTGGCTGCTTTTGCAGAGGACCCAGGTTCGAATCCTAGCACCCATACGATAGCTAACAACTGTCTGTAGCTCCAGTTCCAGGGTATCCAATGCCCTCTTCTGACCTCCACAGGCACTGCATGACATGGGTGCACTTAATATACATGCAGGTAATAATACACTCATACATATGAAATAAAATAATAATAATAAAATTTTAAAAAATATTTTAT